GAATCGGTTACAGTCATTCTCGGGACTTTTCCACGATTCCTGGGACCGACTCGAGAGTACAAATCATGACGGTCATCGGGAACTTTCTGGCTATAAAATGGGAACTCATCGAGTCGTGCAAAATCGTCCTAGCGGCTCATCGGAGAGGAAAAACGATCGGAAATCGTGGCGGGTGATTTTTCGATTTCTTCCTTTTTCCCTCCCCCCGGCAGATCTCTAGACACGGGGAATCGGAATTCCTATTTTTGCCGATCTCGAATCGCCATCGGCGATTCGTTACATCGCTTCGATCGGCTCGGTTCTCTCGTAATAATTGAATGAAAATAATAATTAACCGCGAACCGCTGTCGGTGATTATCCGCGATCGCTCGTTTATCGGTACTCGCATAAATAAACTAAACCACGAGGGCACGGACAATTATAGGTATCAACATTTGCATATTAAAAATAATGCCTCCGATTGCGCGCAGCGATTGCGCAACCTCGGCGATCGATCTCTCCGAAGGGAGGAATATAATCGATCGCGCTTCGATTGATCTTCCTTTGTGCAAGGAAGGGAAAAAAAATAGACATTCGCACGCCCAGCAAATGACAACATTGCCGATAAAGTATCTTATTGCAATTATAATTGTACGAGCAGAAGAAATCTTATGGTTGCATCAAATTTACAATGGCGGACATGAATGCCTCCCCTGCAGATACGGCATCGCCTGTGCAGGATGGGAGGGCATTGATGTCTCCCAGTGTACAATGGCGGACATAAATGCCTCCCCTGCAGATACGGCATCGCCTGTGCAGGATGGGAGGGCATTGATGTCTCCCAGTGTAGTCTCAACCACGTCTCAATCCTCTAGAAAGTATGGCATGCTAAACAAACGAATAAATTTCCACAAGCCGTAAGGAAGATAAATTCTCGATTAAAAGCGCGAAATACCACTTTCTTTCTGATTGTTCATCCGGTAAAAGTATTTCTTTCTACCGAAAATTTTCTTTACATCCGACATATTGAAATGTTGCATTATATAGAGTTAATGCATTTTTCTCGGAGATTTCCCTTTAATTGAAATATGCCGTCGAAGTTGGAGCGCTGAAACTTGTGCAGTTCCATCGACGCCGATTGCAGGGAAAGATAAAAAAAAGAAAAGAAAATAGAAAAATGGCATTAATAACGGGTCGCGAGGTACAATAAAATCGGTCGATCGGGTTTCCCAGTAAATCTCGAAAGACAGGGAAAAATCGATCAATCGAAAGAGATTGTCCGATTGCGCCGGCCTGCGCCGTCGAGTAATTGACCGCCATAAACTACGCTATCTACAAATACGCGAGCGACGGCGTTTACGGGCTGATTTATAATTTCGATAATTGAAGACCTAATCGGCGAGGACTTTTTTGCACACTTCCCACCCGGAAATCTGATTCGAGGCCCCAGCGACGATTTCGAAGATCTGCCACGGACTTGGCGTTAATAAATTCGGTCTTATTACACAGGGGGCGATATAAAAGATTCATAATACATTATTATTAACCGATCATGCCTGATTATATGCGGGGGGCTCTCCTACGTCGACGGACTTTGTAAATTAATCGACTTGCGATTATTGCACTAATCGTATCCCTCGGCGCAATTTTCTGGGAAATGGTTACGTCAAAAGCATGCATCGGACTTTAATGCACTTTTTAATGCACTCGATCCGGCAAGGTCGCCGGAAATTGGGAGTGCACAATATTGAGCACATTGTTGTACATACGAAATTATCAACTTTTATGTACGACTTGAAAAATTCTGCCATCATAAAGTTGCATTAAACAGCGGGCAACATTGTCTTCCTAAGCATTTAAATGCCTCGAGTGTGCAGTGTTAAGTCTATCTACTTTCAACGACCGTGCAATATTGACATCTATCCCGCATTTATGTGCAACTAGTGTGCAGCATTGTCGGAAATGCGATTTTATTCAGCGCTCGTGCAATATCGTCTTATTATACGTTTATATTCAGCGGTCGTGCAATAGTCTCATTACACGCTCATATGCACCGATCCTGCAATATTGTCATATCGCGCGTTTACATCCACCGATCTTGCAATATTGTCCTATCGCGTGCTCGGGGTATACTTCAGATGCGATCTGGCAATTTTCCCGGTTTTACCGCGAATTCCGGAATTATCTACACGGAGCTCGTAAACGTAGGCGTGATTACAGGCCGCGCATCGGCGATTGTTTAAACATTACTCCGAAAATTCGCAATTCTCCCCGCTTTTTTTTTCTCTCCCCCTTCGAGAGGGAACCTGAATCCCGCACTTCCGGGACGGAGATATTGTATAATAAATAGAAATAAACAAATTCATCATTCATTCATCGCCCTGTCGGTCGATTTGTTAATTTTTATTAGGGTTCATCAACCCTACGTAATGCCTCCTCCGTTATCAAAAAAAAAAAAATATGCAAAAAAACCCCTTCCCTCCAAAAATTTCTCGATTCTTCAATTTTTAATTTTAATTCTCGATATCTAATCGGGAAATCCAGAAGGCAGAGCCATGTGTTGATAAAAATATATAAGATATATCGCGAGATTGGGAGGAGGAAGATTACTTATCGGAATCGGGATATCGACCGCCATGATAGATTATCAGAATGTTAGTTAAAAACGTTGGACTAATTAAAATCACGAAAATGCTTGTGGAGTTTATCTAATAGATAGGATATGTTGCATTAATTGATGGTTAACCGGCGATCTGGGCGGAGAAAAGCCTCTGATAAAATAAACTGATATCGTAGATTTACCTTCTACTCGGTATTAAATACTAGGCTTCGATTTTCTGAGTGAATTAAATATGTTACGAGGATAGTAATGCCGCGTTTATTTCGAGCGCGGGTCAAAAGTCGGTTTTTTTTTCTTTTTTTTTTCCCGAGAAATCGCAGGAGAATTTGCATAATTCGGTCGGATCGAAAGGTTGGCCAGGTCGAATATCAGGGGAAACAAAACCTGGCAACGTGAATTAGATGAAATTTATAAGAAAACAATAAGAAAAAAAAAGGAACCCGATTGTTCGGCTACGGAGTAATAACCGTACTCGAGGGAAACACTATAATCGCGGGGGATTACAAATCAAGCCTAATTGCGGAGGGAACGACATTGCAAAACCATATCCAGCCGATTTGACGCCGCCATGAAAGGGGGGGATATTATCTAATATCTCTTTCCATGCTCGATAGATACGTAGATTGTAATAGTAGGCAAAGCACCGGGGACGGTTTGATTTCAGGGCGCTGGCCCATAAATTGCACGCTTCTGCGAGTCGTTACACCTCGACTTATCCTCCTGGACGAGATTTCGATTTCATCGATCTTCGCAGAGAGGCCGACTCATTGATTTGCCCGCCAATTTCCCCGCAATTCCTCGCGGGAATTAATTCGAGCTCGTTAGGATAATTTACTGTCTCCCCTAACCTCGTCGACCCTTTTCTGTTTCCCAGATATCTTAGCGTTACTACATTCTCAATTAACAATTCCGTAAATAACGCATCCTTTCCCCCCGTGAAATTCGGCAAGCAATATGCAAATCGGTCTCCCGGTAAAACTTGCGGGTAAAAGATTTCAGGTTGATCCGAGAGCGTAGGTGAAAATAATTTCCTTCCTCGAGAACCGATTGTATTTGATTTCATGTGATAAGCAACAGTGTGATTCGGTAACAAGAGACGATCGGCCTTAAAATCGAGACAACGTGTGTCGGTGATTTCCAACGATTTACAGTGATTTCTACTTGGAATTTCCTGACTTCCACGTGATTTCGAGCATTAAAATCCATGATTTCCTGAGTGAATAAACCCTCGGGTTGAATGTTACTTTCTTCACCCTTTGGCTACTAAGAGCGCCTAAAGGCGCCCGACGTTTGGTCCAATATTGCCCGCACGGTCAGACGAATTTCGCCCATATGTCGAAATGGCTCCGTGTTCAAAGGGTTTAAAGAAGCGCAAATGCTCTCTTACGGTTAATGATTTTATGTATTCTTACTTCAATTCTATGTAGATTAGTCCTTGATAAAGAAAAAAAATTATTTTTAGAACCAAGAAAAAAAAAAGACAGAACGGCTTAAGACAATATGGCGGCCACGAGGAAGGTGAAGGCTCGAAGAGCGCGAGACTTAATCGGCCGATTTAATGGCGATACAAGGCCCGAAAGGCTGTGCCATTAATCATCGCACGTGCAGATGATAACGCGTACGTAGATGTCGTAATCGACGTACCTCTCGCGGTTAATGACTTTTTTATCCGCGTCGGATATTTCGCTCGGGCGATTTCCTTTCGGCGTCCCTCGGGGGATTTTTAATTAATTTAATCAGTCTTCACGCCAACGAGTGGCGACTCGCAAGGTCCCCCAGCGCTTAATCACTTTTTTCCCCCCATTTAAAAATATTTCGCTCATAAATACCGCCGTACCCCTTTTTGCCATTCCTCTCGTTTCAGGAATAACTGCGCGACTCGGATCACTAAAAGCGACTTTAAAGGCGGTTTACGGTAGTTCCCTCGAGTTTGCGTTAATATGGTCCGCACGAATCGCAGCAAGTCATGACTCGGTACCCGTTCTCCATAGTAATCCATGAGCACCGTTAGTACGGTCAAATTACAATGCCATCGATGGAACACGTCTCAATTGATGGGATTTTTACATCTTTCCTTCAGTACATTCTATTTCTCTGGACGATTCCTAAAGTATGATACAACATATTTACAGCAAGCAGTAGGTACGGCAAGTACCATTTTTATCGAGATTTAATCAAAACAATGAAAATAAATCTTCTACCCTGCAATTACGGGCTGCCGGTGGAGAGGACCATTTTCACGAATAAATTTCAAGAGATGGCAACAATTTACAGGAAACAATAGCCACGCCAGGTTCAATTTTACGGATAAATTTTAAACTACGACAATTGATAGGCACGGCGAGTACCATTTTTATTTAAACTCGAGAATGAATTAATCAATGAAAATAAATTGTCTGACCTGCAAATACGGGCTGGCAGCGGAGAGGACCAGTCGATGAGCAAGGAACCTCTGGCCTCCTGGACAGCAAAGGGCGACATCGGCAAACCTCTGGGACAGCATGGCATCCCTGAGGAACTCGCCGACATCCGGAGCCCTTCGGGACACCCTGATCACTTCACCCATCATACCGCAGCGATGCGATCACTCGTTTCTCTCCAAAATACGCCACATAACCTTCAAAATGGCCATCATCGTCGGCCCGTCTCTCATCGTCTCTATCAGAATCGACATCGAGGCGATAGCGATCTCGCCATGGCACCTTCGACGTGTAAATAGAGGAAGAAAGGCACTAGGACACGAAGAAAGGGCCCTTCGGCATGGGCAACGTCGCGTATGGTAAATCTATGATAAAGCCAGAGTCGATGGCCCGTCGATCAGGATCGAAGATTGGCTTTATCGACTCAGGTGACGTCGTGCCAGGAATAATTTCGAATTGCCGCAATGAGCGTGAATAATGGGCCCTATCGTGTCGGGCACGTGCCCGGGACCATCAAGAAAACGGTCTTCATGGTGATGGTCCCGGGACCATATCGCCGATCGTGATTACCGATCGCGATATAATGCCGCACGTGATGCGGTGGTCTCTACAAAGAAACCACTGAACGCAAGAAAGTGACCGGCACGAATGTTTTTAGCCTGCCGAGAGCTGATGAGATGCCGACGTGCGGATGGTCTTCTTGCCAATTACGTAGACCACGACAAGATCTGGTCGGGTATGATCGGTTCTCGCGATCCCTCGTAGACGGTTTTGTCCGACTTTCCCTGCTTATCTTCGAGGCTTCTGTTCCACGTGGGTACCGATGACAGGTCTTTGAGCCCCCAAGGTGGATACGTGCGCTCCCGAGGCTACCAACCCCAGGGGTAGCCTGCTAATGGGTGGTCTCCTGGGTGGTCACGTCTTCTGGGGCCTCCAACCGCGACAACTCCGGGTAATCTCCTGAAGAGAAGGGCTTAATGATCGCCGATGTCTTCGTCCACCTTGACACGTCATGGGGCAACCTACAAAATCGTGTCCTGGGTCAGTTCGGGCTCGGCTTCCGTGGTGAACCTTCGGCGACACTGTTTGGTCTTTGTCCCTTTGTTCGACCCCACCACCCTGTGGTGTTTGACCGACACTCGGGGACTAATGCCCGGGTCCCTTGGAGGAGGGCCTCGTAGGTCCTGGGGGCTTTGAGGACGAAAGGTCCTACGAAATCGAGGATCCCGTCATCCAGCGATCGCGGGGTTGGCTGGGCGAGAGGACCTGTCGCTGCTGCGACTCGGCTGGTCGACTTTGGTCGACTGGGCCCGATCGTGCTGGACTGCCATCCGTGGACCCCGCAGTCCGCGGCAGCTGCTCACAGTCTCCGCGGGACTCGACCAACTCCTCCCATGCCGGCCGGCCACCCCCACTCCGCGGCCCGCTGGGCCTCTTCGGGCCTCTTCGGGCGTCCTCGGCCCTCGTCGGGCCCCGTCGGGCCCGGAAGACCCCGCGCGGCGCCAAGACCATCCAAGACCAGTCGGGACCTGCGTCGTCCGCCGGTGGTTACTTACTTACGCGTGCGCGAGCTTTCCTTTTTTCACCCATTAACTCCACCTCCGTCGCCACCTCCTCTGCCAGGTGTCGGTCTCTTCGTGGTGACATCAAGGTGCTACCGGAAGTGGATCCCTTGCATTTCCTGGGGACTTTTAAAACGCGATGCCACTTCGGAAAAAAAATCCATTGAACCAAAGAAATATTTCGTTAATTCGGAGAATAATTATCTGACTCAAGTAAACTCGAAAATAAAGAATCGGATGCGACGGAAATTATTCTTTGGATATACGAATTAACTAAATGCTTCTTTGGTATTATGTCCTTTATCGGTAATTAGTTATAAAATTTAAGATTCTTATCAACCGTATATCGAGGTGTGTATATACGTCTTTAGTACATTAAGGATTGATTTTAATGAAGTTCTTCACCTTTGCAGGGTTTTATCAGGTCCTGCAAGTGATTGCAACATCTTTGAACCAGCAACTCCAGGAAGTGCGACGTCGTCGTCCAGTTCGCACGCTCGGTGTCTTCTTGTAGAGGATGTTCCCCGTACCGGTATCTTCTTGTCGGTACAGCTTCTTGCTCGATACCCATGTTCAACCCTGTTTACCGTGTCGATACGCGAATTGCGATCGGCTACATTGTAAATGCACGAGTTTCTCGGAAGAGAGCTGCACCAGTTAGTCCATTGCCATCTAAAGGCGTGTTAACGAGAAGCGAGAATGAAAAAAGGGGTATAAAATACTCTGTTCTGCATTTAACACCTAAAGTGTATCCTGCCGTGCGCAGGCTAGTATCGTTTCAAGAAACTCGGCAGAGTTCCGCACCAAGTACACACCTAAGCGCATATATACTCAAAACGCTCATCCAGTCATTACCTGCGAAGTTTAGCTTTCTTTGGCTTAAAAATATGGAGAATATATTTTTTCTACATTATGCCACTCAACGGTTTGCATTGCCAAGAAACTCGGCTGAGTTCCGCGCCAAGTGCACATAAAAACACATGTATACCCGAAACGCCCATGTAGTAATTATCAGCGTAATTTAACATTGTTAGGTTTGTTTAGCTTAAAACTTGAGAGAACATACATTTTTTATTTTTCTAAGTCGCTTTGCACGATCAGCGATGACGATTAACGTTGTTAGCACCTTTTCGCATCGTCACTCGTTATAAAGCTCTCAGGAAAGTCGACCATCCATCGTTCCTTTATTTATTGCCAATTTTCGAACCTTCCAAGTGGGAAAATGTGGTGCCCAACGTATTCGTTTAATTATCACCACCTTGTTACGGTCGTGCCAGTCGGTCGGTGATGAATGTTGATGCAGCTTTCACTCCGGATCAGTCCGAGATACGTCTCGCGTTTACGAGGCGAGAATCGTAAATCTAATCGATCGACGTAAACCGTCACTGAATTTTTTTCCACCGCTTGGACGAAAATAGAGCTCGTTTGCGGGTTTCTCATCACTTCCGGGCCGCGAGGAAAGATTTGCCTAAATTATGGAAACGTTTCATGTAAGTGTTAATGTGGATTTTCTCGCCTCGCTGGCGTAAGTGGCTCGAGAAAGTCGACGGGATAATAAAAAAAGGGGACGACTTTCCGTGGGTTAAGGAGTTTATTTTTATTTGACATGCTCATGCAAAGAGGCGCTAAGTGCACCGAGTGCCGAGTGCAAGGGAGCCTGGACCCTGCAGCGGGAACAGGGAGAATTTAGGCTAACGACGTTAGTGAACGCGCACCAGTGAAACGGTACCCACTCGAAATCGCATTTGCTCGATAACTGTGCAGGAAAACAGAGTCAAGCCTCGCTAATGCCTACTAAACGATAACTAAGAGTGGATGCTGAAAGGTTGAGGTCGCCTCGTGGAGACGCAAGGACGAGGAGATGCAAGCTCCGCGGCTGATAATCCTAAGGAAAAAAATTCCTGGAATCGGGAAATCGAAAGTTTAATAAGAATTGTTGAAAATAGTGCCTCTATAAATGGCAACTAAATGGTAACTAAGAGTGGACGCTGAAAGGTTGAGGTCGCCTCGTGGAGGCGCAAGGACGAGGAGATGCAAGCTCCGCGGCTGATAGTCCTAAGGAAAAAAATTCCTGGAATCGGGAAATCGAAAGTTTAATAAGAATTGTTGAAAATAGTGCCTCTATAAATGGCAACTAAATGGTAACTAAGAGTGGACGCTGAAAGGTTGAGGTCGCCTCGTGGAGGCGCAAGGACGAGGAGATGCAAGCTCCGCGGCTGATAGTCCTAAGGAAAAAAATTCCTGGAATCGGTAAATCGAAAGTTCAATAAAAATTGTTGAAAATAGTGCCTTTATAAATGGCAACTAAATGGTAATTAAGAGTGGACGCTGAAAGGTTGAGGTCGCCTCGTGGAGGCGCAAGGATGAGGAGTTGCAAGCTTCGCGGCTAATGGTTCTAAGGAAAAAAAATTCCTGGAGTCGGGAAATCGAAAGTTCAACAAAAATTGTTGAAAATAGTGCCTTTATAAACGGGAACTAAATGATAACTATCTGGAAGCTCCATGAGAAATAATTAGAAGGAAAAAGATTTTAGAAAATGGAAACCGAGAGTCCCCAATTTCTCGTTAAAAAGAGCGACTCTGTGAATTTCTAATTACAAGAGACCCGCGACATGCAAATTTGACCCTGAGGTTTGTTCGCTATCGACAAAACAACATCAAAGGACACGAAGTTGGAACGACGACACAAAGGAGTCAATTTCCCCGGTTGAAGTGTACAGAACAGAGCTCGAGGTTTCGGGCTTCGAGATGCAAATGCGATCTTCAGCCTAAATAGGATCCGTGAGGAACATTGTCACCACAAAAGTCAGGAACTGTGCCACCGCATTGTCCTTTGAGAGGAGCTAAGAGTATTCTTTTCATTCACGATCACGCCTGAAAAAGTCGAAAAAGTTGGCTCGAATGTTTCCCTGGCACTATAAATAAAGGGGAAATTTAAATAAAAATTAAACGAAACTTAAATAAAATTTGTAAGAAATCCGTTCTCACGGTTCTCCTGTTCGTAAGAGCGGGGTAAAAAAAAATGTATGGGGAAATGGAACGTTGGATGAAATCCCTTCTCACAGTTGTCCGGGTCGGTGAGGAGTAAAAGAACCGCCGCCACCTGAAAAAGAGCACAACATCGGAAGCAATGCACCTATGCGATGGAATTCGGTTTATGAGGTGCACTTACGAATGGCATTTCCACGCCGGCAAAGTGCGGACTTACGAAAGCACGTACCGTGGTCTAGTGCCACGGAATCGGCGTACTCGGCGATGTGCCGACTATTTGCGGAATACTGAGTCGCCGGTAATTGCGTGCGTATGAATATGTACCCCGAGTGTCGGTAAGTGTCTCTAAACGAGGGAAAAAAACAATCCCCCGAGGTAAGGACTCGCAATCGGACGGCCGTATCGGCGAAATTGACAGAACTCGGAATTCGAGTTAAGTGCCCGACTCGCCGGGCTAAGTGCACGACTAACTGGGCAATGTGCTTTAGAAATGCCAACTAAAATAATAACTAACATGTCGAGGATCTAGAAACGTTCCAGGTGAATGTCTACCAGTGGCAATTGCTAGATCGACGCCGTAAAATCGCATTGTCAATCGATTTGCTTAAATTACCGCTCCACGCCTTTTCCCGGCCCAGATTTACGGTTTCTCATTTTTTACACGCATACAAAATGCCCGATTAGCGACGGGATACCTTTCGATGACATTTCTTATTATCTAAAGCTCGGGGCTGTGATACCCTGAGAAATGAAAATTTAATTAAAGCCAAAGATGCATTGCTACAACAAAATCCTGCGATCGAGTACATCCAAAGAAATGTCAGGAAGAGTAAGCGAAATTAGTTTAAGTGGGCGGTATCATTTTTTTTCTCAACGAAATAATTGTTTCTTGCAATTATATATGATTCAGGCGACAATATACATATTAGCTTCAGCCAATTAATCGTTTTTCTCAGTGTAGAGTCGATTTGGATGAACTTATCAGCACTTGCAGTCGCGTTGAAAATTCCGCGTCAATGTAATTCTTACAAAGACACTTGTTACGCAACGTTGCAATTCTAACGTGGTTTATGTGGGGCATGAAAGTGTGATCGGGTGGATAAATTCACTTTTGTGGCGGGAATTCGAAAAGCACTTTCAACCGCCAGCGAAATATCAATAAACGCCGTCGAGGAAATTTCCATTACTAATGCCACGCCGCCATGTTAAGGTCGATTTGCATGATTCGCGCATCTCGCATTTTCGTCCGAAAAATTATAGGAACGTCGACTACATAAACCTTGTCCGGATCCCGAAGCCGAAATTTACTCCTTTCGGAATTTGCATATCGTCAAGTCACGCTCCGTGATCCTAGCCGACACCGTGGACAAGTTTACAACATGTCTTATCCGAAGTTAATGTAATCCACTTCATTTCTTTTAGCTTTTAATCGAAATCACAAAGTCTTCGATGTTTTCCGTTTCTTCAGGAACTACTTTTCTCTTTCCGTTATCCCGGGACGTTTAAAAATGATATTCATAAGATAACGCGAAATAATCTTAACGAATACCGTCAGAGTTATAAATATTATTTAGAAAGAATATATCATTTCTACGTTTCCTCGTAAAGATTGGGACGGTAAGACGATCTCGTTTCCCGTAACTGCTCCGGAACCAACGACGTGAGCGCAGCCGATAGTCTAGAACGACGCGTACTCGTAATCGATAAGAGGCTGTATTAACACGATGCAATCACCTCGAGAGATAGGTTAGAACGTTATCATTTCGAACTCCTTTTGCGAGGAGGAAATCGTTCGATAGTGACCCCTTACCGAACGGCTAATTCCCCGGAGCAGGAAGTAACGGATCGGAATTATCGACCTATCGGTTCCAGAAGCTTCTCGAACCTTTACAACCTCGACCAACCCTAACCTCAAATCGAGGGATAAGTCGGCCTGAATTTTATCCCAAACCTAAATTCTAATCTGAAATGAACGAGGAATTAATTAATCCAGGAGTGTACGCAATAAATGCAAACGTACAAGAAAGCGTCGCAGGAAAAAAGAAAAAATGTAAATGCACAAGAGAGCCTCGTAACGACGCAGTTTTTTCTCTAAGTCAATCGCCCTTGTAATGCTCCCATTCGATCGCAATTTCGCTTTGTAAACGGCGCTAGTTGCAGAGTACAGACGTAATTATTCCGTTGAGCAATGGCGGCCAGCCGGACGTCGTTACGCGATCGGTGAGCTCGGTGCCGTTAAACGATTAGAAAATTGAAGCATCTAAAACCAGAAAAAAAAGAGATTTATTCTTCCCAAAACTTGACGGGGAAAAAAATGTCGAGTATTTCATTTGTGATAGATAAGATTGTGATAAAATAATGAATGTCACGTCTCAAAAGTGAATCCTTCTACATTTATGATGAACTTCGAAAAAAAAAATTTGCAACGTTATATCAGAAGTTTGTGAAATTTTGCAGCAAAAATAAGCACACGGATATTAAATTTATAATATATGTTATTAATGTTTGGAAATGGTATACAATGTACCATGTCTGGATAAAACTTCGGAAGTTGTATAAAACTGTAATAGTTTCTTTTTAACAGCGTAACTTTTCTGCGTTTTCAAGAAAATCTCATCCTTCGTCATTAAAACTAGATTGCCCGGTTGCGACTGCGCATTTCTTCCCCGACTGGACCGACAATCTCGCCAGGGGCATCAATTTAATTATCCCCGAGTTCAATTACCTAAGGTGCACTTCGCTGCAATAATGCAACGATGCACGTGCACTATCCGGCGGTTCCTCTAACATCGCGCATTACTTTTTTCTTCCCCCCCGTTTGATTCGCTTTTTCATTAGGTCGCGCAAACAACGACCAGTTGCGATATAGAACTGCGCTCGGAAGCAATGAGGTTATGTCGCACACCGGTTATTAGTTTAAACGTCGGTCGCAACTAAATAATTGCGACCTGTGGTGGATAGATCGCAGATCCGGATAGAGTTAATTGCTTATTAAGCGCAATTAGGGCATTCTCTGGAGATCTGAAATTATCCGGCTCGGAAGAGGAGAGAAGAAAGATCCGCATTGTTGTCGAAGGATTGATGATCATCGCAAATCGCCGATTTTGAGAATATGAAAGCCGATGGAAGACGTTTCCTGGATTCAACTTGTGCGGGGAATGAAAATACGTATTATGATTTATAAGCGAATAAAGAAGTGCCGCCATGTTTGTATGTCGTTTCCCTTTCTCTGTACACTTACAAAGTGAAATTGTCGCACGCAGGGTTGGGTAATTTCGCATTTTTCGAGGTTTTTGACGCATATTACGTAAGCATGTAGTTTACCGGAGAAAATCGTAGGAAACTAGTAAATTACGTTTTGTAAATATTATGAATGCCGCAGATGGATGATATACGGCTTCTACTAGGTTATAAACGTCTTTCAGCACGTATATAAACAAATATGTCATGGAGATTTTCAAGAAATATTTCAAATATCTTCGAATGAAATCTACAAGAAATCTTAAGAAATCTGTCGCTTGAGATATTTAGCAAAGATTACAAAGATATATTTAGAAATTATTCTATGCTACTAGGGGTGCGTATGATTAGTAACTTGGCGAGATACTCTACCGAGTTTTCTGACTTAACGAAGTGAAGAAAATGTTAAGTGAGCATCGTCCGAGGGGAACTTCGCCTTTCTGCCATGGAAATGATGGAAGGCAGTTCCCGATTGTTAGTAAGTGACATGTCGCCGCTTTTACGACGGGTTATAACAGGCAGGGAAATTTATGAGAGATTTCTTCGCTTGCGCGTGCAAAATTCAGTATGATGAAAGTATCGGGGGTTAAGAAGCAACCGTGGACGCCTGCGATTCCTTGTCGACATCCTGATAATATTATTTCCTCGGATTACACCACGGCTAAAGTCTTCATACCTTCCTATGACAGGTGAGATTAAATAACATGATAATTTGATAAGGCAACTCGAACTTTCCCTAGTAAATAAAATTACAATTATTATCCTTACGTAAATGTCATTTCCCTTTCAGAGAGCCTAAACCGTGCATCGAGCAGTTATTAACAAACGATTACCAACGAATCTGGTGGAAGGAACACGAGGCTTGGATTAAAATGCAATTCCGAGAGCCAGAGAAAAAGAAAAAGTTTCACCCACCAAACGCGGTATAAAATGTTGCAGGGAAAAATAGCTGTATTCCGTATCTCTTATTTTTTTTTTTTTTTTTCATGAAAAGCTAATAATAGTTCCCTAACTCCTAGGTTGTTCCTAAGAAAAAAAGAGAGACCACCTTGAACAAGTTACGAAATAAATCCGACCCAACTGCTAAGACGAAAACGGCGAAGAAAAAATCGACAGCGGTGAAGAAATAATTTGTTGGTTAAATATACCTTTCCAAATTGTGTACGGATATTCTCAAGAAATTTAATACCTTATTTTTAGACTGTGTAATTGTAGGATATATTTTATAAATAAAAGTAATGACAATGACGCCTTATTTCCGATCCGGATGGAAGGCCTAATAGCTTAACAACATTTTTCAACTGTTCTTTATTGAAATGAGGAAGAAATTATGCATAGCCAATGCTATAATTTCGCCTGAAATATGTAATTATGTACATGGAGGGTAACTAAGGGATCCTAGTTGTTTACAAATGGCAGACCGTTTGATTTCAGGGATGCTTCGTCCCGATAAAATCTAATTTTAGAAGATTTAAATTAAGTGCCAAGATGGAGGAGTCTAAAGAATGCACGGTGCAAAAATCTGCCAAAAAATTGACGGAGGACATCCAAAATATGACCAACTACAAGAGCTTGTACAATGAAATTCAGGTAATCCGTTCTTGCTTTTTAAATGTCTCTCAAAACCCTGCACCGGGGATAACAATTCATTGAACCAAAGAAATATTTTGTTAATTCAAAGAATAATGATTTGGCTAAAAAATAAATTGTCCAAATAATTCCAAAGAAATGTTGCCTCCGATACATTGGAGTTTATTTGAGTCAAACAATTGTCCTCTTAATTAATAAAATATTTCTTTGGTTCAATTCTATTTTTTCTTCTCGGGGTGTATGTTGTACTTTTTTTGGTTTTAATTCCCAGAGATTGGTAGCTTCTGCAGCCGTGAAGAAAGTTGATTTTAAAAGCACCCTCCTCCAAGCTCTGAAAAATAATGGTTTGGAAACGGAATTGCGAAATACGGTGTTTCACTGGGTTAGGTCACAAGTAAGTAAATTACAGGACTCTCATGGTAGATAAGAGTTGTGAAAAGAGTATTTATAAAATTTTCTGCAGCCAGTTCCGGACTCCTCGTCAGTGGACACGGATTTGGGATATTTGAGAAAAGCTCAGATTCAGTGGGAACGTCGAATTCAGAAATCATTGAATTCCATGTGCAATGAATTAAACGTACCTTTAGCTAGAATAAGACCTAATGCCGATAGAGATGAACTTGCTGAAAAGTGGAACGAACTGAGCACGTACTTTATCGGTACGATAGTATTCTTATAGTATCACATTCCCTGTAACTCTTTTAAAAGCTATAATAAGTGAAAAAAGATCGAAACTACAGTAACAAGGTTGTAATTACAGACTTGTCTCAATACAGGCCACTGTATGCTCCGAAAGACTTTCTGGAGGTCCTCTTTTCGGTTCGGGATCCATCGTTTAAACGACAAACGTAAGGTCTTAAAACAAACCTCATTTTGACAAAACTCTAAAGCAAAATCGTATTTTAGAGGAGAACCGAATTGGGAATTCAGTCACATCCAGATTAGAGTGAAAACGCTGGTGCAATTGGTGAGTGCATACTGGAAATGAAAATTCATATTTTCATAAAAGCATTAATATATTAAAAGAATGATAATTTCCTTAACAAGTAGAGAGCGATGTATCCGGAATTATCCCAAGGTGTGCCATTGTTGGGCGTGAATCCCAACATGCCTGTTGCTGGTAATTTCCCAAATTTAGAAGCCGAAAGAACTCATCTAGGCGAAAAAGTCCTGCAGTCGAATCACGCTCCCATTGCACAGGAATTCTTGAAACGTGGAAGCCCCAGAGCTCTCAGAGGACGACTTTGGTCCTTGGTCTTGGGTTCGGTTGTTAAGGATAATGTACGAATTTTTTTTTCTTCTCCCATACATCTCCAAAACACAAGAATTTCCTTGTAAAATGGTACTTATATTAATTAATCATATTATTCAGGACGCAGAGTACTACGAAGAACTGAAAAGTATGGTCTTGCAGTATGACATTATGGTAGACAAGCTGATCATCAAGGTATGATCTACGGTTCAAGTGGAGTCCTCGGAATAGAATAAGCTTTATGATTGTAGCAAGATAAAAATATAAATAAGAATTATACCTCAAAAATAATATTTTCAGGATGTCCAGTTAACTGCGAGTAACGATGACCAGTATTTTGTCTTCGAAGATGTTTTATATAAGACGATGCTATGTTTCTCGAGAGACTCTGAGGTTCTGGCTCCTGTGACGACGGACAGAAGTGCAGGGGGTCAGGTCATTCATGCCGTTCTTCAGGGAAAGCCTGCTACGCTGGAAAATACTGTTGTGTTTCCTCCCAGTGGAGTCATTCCTTTTCATGGTTTCACTATGTATGGTAAGCTTGCCAGAAGTGGGGAATTTTAATTGTTATAAAAATCATGAAATTTTCTACAATATTCATATGGAATCGTCATTTACAGCAACTCCATTCTGCTACCTGTACGACGATCCATGCATTATGTATTACACATTTAGGGCGTTTTATCTACGTTATTGGTTTCGTCTTCACACGGTCTCCAGTCACGAGCAAGGAATAGTGGCACTGTGTTTGCTTTTCGAAAGATTGCTACAGTGCCACGAGCCACAATTGTGGGCTTACTTCAGAAATTTGCATATACAGCCGTGAGTCAATTATATGCTATTATAGCAAAACATCGTGTGACGTAGGTCTGAATATGTGTTCTATTTACATTCCTTGCATGCAGAATTAAAGTTGTGTTCAAGTGGCTGATGCGAGGCTTCAGTGGCCACTTACCTCCAGAACAATTACTGTACTTGTGGGATTTGGTACTCGGATATGATTCCTTGGAAATTATACCCCTCCTTGCCGTGACCATCCTAAGTTTCAGGAAAGAAAATTTAATGCAAGTTAATACATTGCATAATATCGAGGTAAGGAAAACCTCAAATTTATTTACACTTACCGCGTCATTAATGTAGAACATTCAGGACGTAGCAAAAATATCGAATCGTTGCCAAGTATTACATGAAGCTTCTAGAAAAGTTGAAATTTGCTTTCAGGCTGTTTTAGCAGACCTCTCATCTCTGAAGATTATGCCCCTGCTTCAGCTAGTCCTTCTGAAAGATTAATTTTATTAACGATTATGAGTATATCGCATCTGGAAATTCCTCACAATGTGTCAGATATACATACTAGAAAAATGTTATGATAGCGACATGTACAAAATAACAAAATCCCATCAACAACTGCTATAAAATTGCTGTTATCAATTTCAAGAGTATTTTTTTACGCGTTTAAAAATTAAACACCATATGATCCATTTTAAATGAGAAACTGTATTATCGACACATAAATACCACACTTATAGCGTAAAATAACTAACGGAACTCTCTGTGTCGAAAAAGTGGGCTCGGCCTCGCCCAATCCGAGAGCTGAATCGCTGACAGGGGTCGCTATATACAGGAGTAACTCATTTCTGACAGAGATGAGTTGCGCCACTACTGAGAGGTAAAAGGTGGCAAGTGCATTAGCCGTCAACATCCCGCACCGGGGAGCAGCACAAGACACGATCGCGCAACCCTGCCTCATGTACTCGTGATGGTAATACCATGTGAGTGTTGACGGTGGTGGCTTACCTACGCTTACCGACCCTGCTCGCTTGTCATGTCGTTGACGATATACGTCAAAAATGTCTAATACATAGTTGATTAAAAAATTTCAAAATTGATTATTAGAATTTGGGGATTTTATGATGATTAGGATTTTATTAAAATTTATTAATCCACTATGTATTACACATTTTTGACGTATGGTCGTCAAAATGTCTAATACATAGTTGATTATTAACCCCTTGGCCTATACGATATATGCCAATTGCGCGACTTTGCCATGAGTCAGACTCGTGGTTATAGGTCAAAGGGTTAAATTTCAAAATTGATTATTAGAATTTGGGGATTTTATGATGATTAAGATTTTGTGATAATAGGGTGTCCTCAATTACCGTACCGTCGCTTCTCCGGGTCGACACCTGACCGCAGATACCTGAAAAAGGTACCCTTGTACTCCCATTACATCATCTTATAATTACGGATTTTCCGTTAAGGTGACGAGAAAGAGGCAACCGAGGGGTCGGTTGATAAGGAAATTTTTCACAAAACTGGTGTGACACAAAAAGGTGTACCTAATCGTTTGAAATTTTATAACGTGAGTATAAAGACCCTAAAAAAGGGTTCAATAGCCATGAAATTCCGTTATTATAAANCCATCCTTATGGGATGACACCGATCCGCGAACTAGCTGTGAAGTAGAATTTAATTAAGGTAAACTTTCACTTTCTCGTAAAATAAATAAGGTAAATGAAGAGTAAAGTCAAGGCGAGTGCCATGAATGTTCTTCCCTTACCGTCAAAAGCGAGCAGTGTCGGAAAGCGTAGGTAAGCCACCACCGTCAACACTCGCATGGTATTACCATCACGAGTACGTGAGCCGTCAACGGCTACTGGTAGATGGTATCGCCATCGCGAGTGCGCGAGCCCCTACCAGAAATTCGTTGCGTCACCCTTGGGGGCTAAAAACGGTGAAAGGTGACGTACGAAACCAGAGGGCAGCATGTGATGCGATTGCACAACTCTGCCCGTGAGCAATCTCCCAACTCATCTCTGGATTTAATTTCTCCTCTCCGATTTAAACTTGCCGCTGCTTCGGTACGTGGTACCCGACTCCACCACCTGGCGGCGCCATATCACGAGAAAACCATGACCGCTGCTGGTCGATTGCAGGTGAAATTTTTACTATTTGCTATAAAAGTGCATTAGTCCGATTTGTCGTCCAAGTTATTACTGATTGTCAGGATTTTCAAATCGTTGGTAAACATTCTGAAAATGATAAAGATAAATTATTGTAAGAAGTGAATTGTCAACAGATGGCGAAGAAGAAAAGTGCTTGAAAGTAAACGTTGAATTATATGATCATTGTGACGAATATCTATTTACAGTCGAATCGAATATGATGAAACATCTGTCATGGACCTTGAGAAGATGTATTTTACAGCATAAAAATAGTCTGATTGCTGTTCAATCTTCTGAGAAAGTGAGGTTACCTAACCTGTACACTTTTCAGTTACGGTATTTATTCCAAAAACAACCACCTGCTTTAGATACTAAAACAATTGAAAGTATAGAATTACTAAAATGTGAAATAAAAGATCTTGACAAATCCAATCCTTTGTCAGTGGTTATAAAAGTTATGGAAGTTTTGCATTGCTCCAAAGACACAGCACTTAAATTAATTAATGAAAATAAAAATCTCGTGGTAATTCCTAAGGAGGAACTCCAGAAAAACTATGAAACTCTTAAAAAAGCTCATGCTAAGAATACATTTATGCATAACCATGCCTGGCTGCTTTGTTTATCGAACAGAGAGCTGACTGTTAAAGTTTATATAGTAAATAAGTTAAAAATGAAATTAAAGGAGGTTGCACCATTGATGAAACTTGACGAGACAAATTTGTCTCAAATTGTTACATATACACTGCTTCAAGAAACAAAATATGGCAACAGACTTGTGTATCTCTCAAAACTTTTGCAGGTAAAACTTAATTTAATAATTACTCATGTGTATTGCAAATTACGTTATTCTTGTTGTATCCGCTTTGAAATGAGATATTTATTATTGCTTCTCATCAGTGTCCAGTTTCTACAGTATGCGAAATAGTGATAAGGAATAAGTATTTATTAACCATGCCAATAAAGAAGCTAGAAGATATAATGGTTCTTGTTGAAGGTAAATTGGCTTAAGTTTATAAGAATATTATTGTTTATAAATTTAACATTTACTATGAAACTTCAAAATTATTCTTCCTAACAGAATTTAATCTTAGTAAAGAAGATATCGTGAGAGATCCTTGGATATTTTGTTACAATGTTGAAAACGTACGCGAGCGACTAGAAGCGGTTCAAGAACTTGACTTAGGCAAACTTAAATTATGGATGATTCGATGTCCAAAGAGTCGTTACGAAAAGTAAGTGCTGTAAAATTCATTTAAACATATATTTAATAAGTTTGCCACATTCTTTTTGTTTAATACAGGTTACGATCCAGATCTGAAATGGAAAATACCTTAGCTAGCAGTAATTTTTGTAGGATCGAATACATTTGCAAAAAGCTGAATTGTAAACGAGAGTATCTGGACATTTTGGCTAAGAAACATAAGTATTTACAACGAGTGAGAATAATTAAACTAGATGGTCTGTTAGAAATACTGGCAAAATATGAGTTCACAACATACTTTGATATTATGCACTTACCGGATTTGCTTCAATTTTCTAATACAACATTAAGAAATAGAGTAGCCCAATTGGAGGAGATTGGACATCGACCGAATAATATACTTATTCTTGGTAAACCTAACGCAGAGTTCAGTGATTATATCAACAGTCTAAAGAGTAAAAAATCCTTAAAGGAAATACAGGAAAATACAACAAATTCTTGAAGTCTTACGAAATCAAGACACTAATGTACCATTTATTTTGTTACAATGCCAAATGTCTATTTTGGAGTTTCTCAAATTACATTGTCTTTGCCTTGTCAATAAAAAGGAAAGTAGACAATATTAAACCAATGTCTTTTATAAGTACTTTCAAAAAAATACAAAAACTTTAATAAAAGGTACAGTTTGGTCTTTTCTTGTGTAATTAATCTGGCATGGTATCACCTTCTTCTATGACATGATCATTAATCCATGTTAATCCGTCAGCTTTACAAAGTTCTAACAAATATTTCATATGATCACCATTTTTGACTCCATGCTTAGTATTTATAAGTTCTGTTTTCAGAGATGAGTTAAAGAAATCATTACAACCAATCAGCGATGATCGAATCTCCAATGACTCCATCCACAACGTATTACCAAGATGGAGACACACCTAGTGACAATCAAGAATTAATTAGCAAAGTATTCATAGATATCATTGAATCTTCTAACCAAATATTTTCCCTTTTTTAATCAGTACCTTTCCACAAACATATGACTCTTTATCCAAAAATGTGTCAAACCATTGATGTACTGCATCGTCAACACAACGGTTCCAGTCAGTTTCACTATCAAATGGTGAAATACCAGCTAAGAACACCTCAACTATATGAACTGGCCATTTTAACAGTTCATCGGGTATTTCAAGTAGTTCATAAGCCTACAATATACAATAGGCGAAAAGTAAATACATAAATTCTAAAAGCAAACTATTTTGCACGTCTCTTTTACTAACCATTCTTTTCTGAAAAATCATACCGTCATCAATACATCTTACTCTTACAATATTTAAATCATCACGAATTGTACTCTCCACAATGTGTAAAATTTGCACTCTTTTGTACCTATCCATCATTTCTTCCATCACGCAGATATCACCTACACTCACTCCTCTTTTCTTCTTCCTGAAAAATCATAACTGTCAGTTCATCGTTTATGAAACCTTTTTATTCATCGGAGTTTATCATGTTGGGTATGCCAAAAAATATCATCGATATTTGAGTATACTCACTTGTTATCAAAAACGGAGTAATATTCTTGCATTTTTATATGAAATCGTGCATACTCATCGGCAGGGAATGCCGTTATTTTATTAGTATCTGGATTTGTATACTTTATGATTCGTGCTGAATAATGAGTCGCATCATGAATGTAGGTAACCAATAATTGTACATTATCTCCACTGGAATCAGTAGGAAATATTATGCAGGTTGTAAATAATATTCCTCGTTATTTCTTTGTTACTGAAGTAACTCACATTTTGATGTCAGTCATCGGCATGTCCACTTCACGAAGAACACAATGTCGATAGATGCATGAATGTTTCTTTGGACAATAGCCCAAGGCTTTCACTTTATCGCAAATGGGATAATGCTTCTTTTCTCTATCCAAAGTTACAGAAATACGCTGAAATAAATTACATAATACTGAACAATAAGATTCAATTAAATTATTAATTTCCATATTTTAGTTTGCTACCTACTTTAACTGCCTGGCGTAAATTCTGAGATATCTTAGCACCTAATCGCTGAACTGTATTCACTACTCCATAAAATTCCTTGTTATTTGTTTCGTCTACCATTATCGTAACTTTACAGTTGTTGTTTTTCTTCACAACCGAAACAGAAACAATAGTCATTAATTACTAGAAATGTATACAACTATTTAACATGACAACTTTCACATTACCATTTTCCAATTATTCATAAGACATTTAAATCTGTTATAAAACATCGTCTTCGTTTTTACGTTAACAGAATAATGTATCAACCACTCAACATCGGTTATTTTCAGTTCTGAGAGAACCTCGTCTGTGCATATAAGAATTGGATATTCTCCCCATACACTGGCCATCCAGTAACTTCTAACGCCTTAAAAAAGAAGCATCATAGATTATTCGTTTTTTTTTATTATTATTAATTATCTATTATCGCCAAAAGTAAACATGCAAGAAACATCACTTATATATTTTGTATTGGATATATACCTTGCATTTCAGTTAAAACTGTTTTTTCATGTACGAGAAGTGTCTTTTTCGATTGAGAGGTTAGAAAAGCATTCACATCCACAGCTTCGTCATAATTAGCACAAATTATCATTGTTTTAAGATTTGATTCGCTTTTCTGTAATAGTTCTACAACAGAATGTAGTTGCACTCTTTAATCACTTCATTTCTATCCATTTCATTCAATTGGTAACAATAGTTACCCAAAGTTTTTTCGTTCTTCCCCTGCGAGACCATGCAATGCAAAGTAGCTCGTACGCATCCATACACTGCTGCTTCCATGTATGATCTAATACATACATATGGATTATCCATGGATGTCATCACAAATTTTTTCACAAATGGAGTCCATTCACGTGCAACTGTTATTATTTGCAACAGTGGAGTACTCAAATCCTGACGATCCCTGTTGCAAATGACTCTGTGCTTACTGAATAATTCTGCAAGCTATACGGCAATCAACTTTCATAAGAAATTAGAGGAAATAGCTAATTCCATCAGTAATAAAGATTGAACAATTTATTTGTACCGATTGAAAATATTTGTCAAACATCATGTCAGCACCATCAAGTATTAAATGAGTGAGTCCATCGATATTGAGTATCTTTTTATACTTGTTCATAAATCTAGTCAAAAACGGTGGTGTTGATATTAAAATTTGACATCCATTGTACATTTTCGCCTGTGCAAAGTAAAGCAAACGTGATCAGCAGATAATTCAACACTGAATATGCTGATAATGGAATAAATATTCCTGTTACTAAAACTACTAAAATACGTCTTACCACCAACGATCTCTCCGATTTTCCGTTAATTGCTGTTACACAATGAATACGTGGATATCTTAATAGTAAATAAGAAAAATAAGCTTCCGCATCAAGGCAATCGGATGACGATGAACACAATATCAATATCACAGTATTGTTTCCTTCGGATAACTGGATAATGAGAAATAAAAGGAAATGGATGATAACAGTGTTAAAGATGTATAAAAATTTAACAACCTTACCAATTTGTAAGTTGTGATAGTGCTTGCGACTGGAGCTACGTAAGCCATTGTTTTTCCACTTTTAGGAGGCCCAATGGCTACGACGTCTAACCCACTCATAATAGCAGGCCAAACATATGACTGTATACTCAAAGGCTTTTCAAACTCTAACATTTTCAAACCCTGGAAAAATCCTTAATATAGCAAACATCATTACTTACATGCTATTTCTTCATAACTGTAATTCAAACACACCTGATGAATACCGGTAGTAAATTTAGCATCTGCAATCTCACATAAATATTTGCATTTAGTCTTGCTGCAAACTAACGTCTCTTGTGGATCATCTGCTGCCACTAAAGTTGAATGTACAATCTTCTTCAACGTTTGCGCAACCAGAAATTTATTGCTGATCACAGAAAAAAGTGAAAGGACAAAATTAAATTTATGCACAAATATGATGAATGTGAGTCAAATTGAAATACCTTGCTTCTTCGCCAGAAGTTGGCACTTCGTCATCTGTACCTTCATGCAAGGATTGTTTCTCTCCATTAACTAATTCCCTGCCGTTACTTGTAGTACATGAATTAATGTCACCATTAGCCATTCCACCATTAATCGCAGGATTTTCAATTGACTCTACAAGTTCTTTCATGGAGATTAAATAACACATTACATATAAGTCTTTGATTTCTGTAAATTATATTTCAGTTAACAGTTTTGTATTCCATAAAAAGTAAATTACCACTGTCTAAATAAACAGCAAATTGATTGTATACTAATGTTTCTCTCAACGATAAGATTTCATCCTCCATAATCAGGTACAAATCACCAAATTTTCTGTTATTTTCAGTTGCTAAGACTTCGAAATATATCTGTTGTGCTGCTATTAATAATTCTTTGGTAAATTGAATTGCTGCCGCACTCCAGTCCTCAAAAATTCTAGAACAGTATCAACGATAATAAAATTGCTTTGGTTTTTAACAGTTCAAATGAATTATTAGAATGTGAATTAAAGGTAAGTATAATGATACACTAATAATGAAACTAACGTAACACTTTGATTCTGTTTACTATTATCCATAGAATCAACACCAGCAGGTATTATATTATATAAACCGATGGTAAATGTTAAGTAATCGATATCGTTAAAAAAATTCTTTGGAACAATACTAAAATCCTTTCTAGACAGCTCAATAGCATTGCCGTAGTCTGGCAGAAAAACATTGTATTTTGAGGTAGCGGTATTTAATGACCCGACAATTCCTCTGCACCACCATGAGGGAATGTCTATTTTCTTGTCAAACATGTGTACTACGACTGACTGAAAAATATAGAATATTAAAATAAATATTGAAACATTATCCTTTCTTGGAAAATTATAATAATTTATGTTTATCTACTTTATAAAACTTACATCTTGGATTTGAGGCATGATTGACTCATCATTTTTAAGCACTTCTTTTTGCACACGTCGTTGCAATTCTCTGTTCACCTTGGATAATCGTGAAGAATAAGTTTCACCATTGTAGATTCTAATAAAATAGGGAGTTACTATGTTCGTAACTTGTACTTGTATAGCAGTAGCAGGGAAATGAGTGCACTTTCCTATAAAATAATGAATGCCTCATTCAAAATGAAACCATTTCAAACTATTAAGAATTTATTAATCCTATCGTACAGAGAAATTGCAAATATTCTTGGACGGTTACTTATAATTGTGACTCACTGCCAAAACGATTAACTCACTTTAAACAAACTACACAAATTTCAATCTGTACTTTATATAAATAAGTCTGTAAGTTGACTCACCCTTCTTCATCGAAGTTATTTTGATTTCCATTTCGAAAGTCTGTAATAAATTTCTTGTAGTTATTTACACTGGTGCAGCAAACATGATCTCTGTGGTAAATGGTAAAGCGTACAAGCAAAACATTTTAAGAGAAAATTTACTACTTACATACAATTATGTCAAAAGAAGGGGAAGCGTTTAGACAAGTTTATAGGCCTTGACTGTTTATTTATTTTATATACCACCCTAGACAATTCCTGTTCACTTAATACAGTGCAGACAAGCCGCGAAGTCAGACTAGGGCCAAGTTATGAAGAAACTCGGTAGAGTTTCGCGCCAAATACTAATAAGACGTTATGCATCTAGGGGAAAAGGTAAAAATTTATAGAACACGAGTGGTCTTAAGTATGCTACAGAGCAGGTGCATCAGGACGCAGTTACACAGTCAAGTACTGCAAACTTCATTCGATGTAAATGCCTGTTTGATACTGAGGTGCACACGATATCTCTTACAAAATTTACAAGGAAAGTGCGACATTTATACGCTTGTAGAACGTGTGACCGCGTGCTATGCCTGAATGCTTGCTAATAGACATAAAAGTAAATAAAAGTAAACGAGAAGGGAAATGAAAATGAAAAAGTTCTAGATAGGAAAATCGCAGAAACCCGATCCGTGCATTCGTAAGCGTCGTTTCATTATCACCGCTCTCATTGACTGTTTGTACTTGTTACAAGAATTGTAATACATTTTAGGTATAACACTTATTGAAGTAAATAAACATCTGAAGCTACAACCAATTACACACAACTTAGACTTGAACGAAACCGCGCCGGCACATTTATCCAATTTTAAAAATCTAACCTAACATAACCTATTTGATTCTTTCAACAATAAAGGTAAGACTGCAGTGTAACCAGGATTGAATAAATGAAATACCCTAGGAAATTTTCGTAGTTCTTTTATTGTAAAATACTAGGTATTTTACATTACGCTTTGACAATCTTATATACTAGGTTCGATCCATACGAAGAGGAAACGTGCTCATGTCATATATAGCGCCGAATGCACGCATACTCAACGTCTCGACCCGTAGCTTGGCGCTTGGTTGGTTGCGACGCGCGAAGATTTCTAGGAGCTATCGCACTCACACAGATTCGCTGTACGAGAGTTCCGTACGCGACACCGCGTGTGCCCCAAAGCTCCGCATCACGTTGACTTCGTGGCAACAATGTACTTAATGGTAGTAGGTAAGTAGATAAAATCAAATGGAGCGTCATGAGTGTTCTTCCCTTGCCATCAAAAGCGAGCAGTATCGGTAAGCGTAGGTAAGCCACCATCGTCAACTGCCGCATGGTATTACCATCACGAGTACGTGAGCCGCCAATGGCGACTGGTAGATGGTACCGCCATCGCGAGTGCGCGAGCTCCTATCAGAAATTCGTTGCGCCGCCCTTGGGGGCAAAAAACGGTGAAAGCTAATGTACGAAACCATAGGGCAGCACAGGATGCGATCACACGATCCTGCCCGTGAGCAATCTCCCAACTCATCTCTGTTAGCTAGTCTCTTTTCTCTACTACGAGGTGATTTGTCTATGGTTTAAATCTGATTCACTCTATAAAACGTCACTTTTAAACCTAGCCTGTAATACTCCGAGTATTACATATAGGCTCTAATATTGTAATTCATCATCAAGCGGCGTAAAGTTACAGAATCGATTGCGTGCCAAGTGCATCAGCGAGAATTGTTAATAATTTTTTGTTTATAGGAACCCTCAGTTTTAATTTAATCTAGTCAAAAAATGGCCCTGTACGATAATCAACACTGGCTTTTATCACACATCAGAGATAGTTTTATATCTACAGATGACACAGGTAATTGAAATTTAGCAAAGGATTAATTCAGTGTCCAATATGATTTCCACCGTATCACTTGTTAACATTATTTTGGAGGGAGTATAAATTATGTCACGTTTATAATTGGATTGATATTTGCATGGAAGGAAAAATTTCTGTATATTAACATACTCGTCCTGTTAAAGGTATATGCGAAATGGTAATGCTTGGAGAAGATTTGCCTAAACAGTTAAAAACAAGCGGGATGCTACAGAGTTATCCTGGAATGGATGACAGCGACGAGGACATGGATGCAATGGCCGAGTCTTATGACATCCAAATGGGTAACCCACTGTTGCATTGAAAGCTTAGAAATATTTATAAATATCTTAAGAATGATTTGGCCTTAGACATGGAGTTTGGACACAGACAACGTTCTAATACCGCTCAACGTTTGGAGAAGATGGACATAGAGAGGAAGAAAGCATCTAAAGTTAAACATATTAAATGGGAGTACAATCCAGGACTAGTCTCCTCAATGGATCACTCAGAATTGTTCCAAAAAAAAATTCTCCCCAAAAAAGAAGATAAAGTTGTTAAAAGATATTCGTTATTATCTGAACAACTGGAGAAATGTCCAAATCTCCCACAAAATGCTTTTACGGATTATGCCAAATTTGAGGGAAATGTAATGTTACACGTTTACTTTATTATCTTACTTTGAAATGGTAGGAGTCCGAAATTCTGACATTTTGTTTTCTTTCCAGGCCCAAGTTGGAGGTCCCGCACGAAAATATAGAATATTTATGTCTATGCTTCCTAAAGATCAGCGAGCGTATCCTCTGCAGACTATTGTTCTTGTCACGGCCAAAGTACAAGAGTTTATTGGCTTAATATGCTACAAATATGCCAGTGAACATCCTGACCATCCATTGAAGTACGTATTTAAAGGAGTCTTCAATTTGTAATATTGGAAAGACTGCAACGACGATACATTTCTTCAGGGATGACATCACAAAATATGGATTATATCTTTGCGAGGATGACGGGGAGATAGACTGGGACTTTCCCTGTTTGGATCCAAGAGAAACTATTTCGAAGTTCAAATTTACGACTTTGGCTCTACATGAGATGAAACCAAGTGACAGAGCTAGACATAACACAGTGATAACTACAGAACTACAAGATGAGGAAGATCTTATTAGAAAAGACAAAGAACAAGAAGCAGTTGCTGAAGACCTGGCCAAAATGGAAGGTCACACTACAGCCATGGAAGCTCCTCTGTATCAGTTATACAGGTTAAATAATTTTTGCAGGGCTGCAGATCATGCTTCAAATTTAAGACAATATTATATAATGTTACATAATGTTGTCTTTACAGTATTAATTACTTATCTAAAAACATAACATCGGTATTGAAGGTTTTTAATTTCAAACAGGGTCTACATAATTAATAAAGTGAGAGCAAAGACTGAAATCCACCTTGGCATCTCGGGGGAGAAAATTGAAATTGATCCAGTTATTACTGGTAAAGGTGCAGGAAGATTTTGGAATCGCCAACGAGCCATTAGTTATCACATCGATAACATTGCGTGGTGTGAAGTTACAGAGAATAAGGGAATGAAAACGACTTTCACAATAGTTTATACTCCGCATTCTACATCCCTGGATGGATTGACTGGTAAACGTGTAAAAATATCAGAATTCTGTTTTTTATAATACATGCATTTGTTACAAAATTATTATTTATTTCAGTCTCATCCAAACATACACATTCTCTTCATCAGTCAGCATCGTTCAAGAGTCATGATTTCGAAGCCAAGTCAGCTACAGCTGAAGAAATCGTCCGTAAAATTAACCACATATTAGAATTAAGGAGTAGTGCTTCAAGGAAAGAATTTTTGGCACAGAGAGAACGTAAACCAGCTAGGAGAAAAAGTTTTCATTTACATAGATGACAACTTCAGTGGCTGATTTTTTCTCTCCTGAAGATCTTGAAGAATTAAAGTATTTTACTGAGCGAATAAGCACGGAAAAGCAGAAACATACTTAATTGAATGGCTGTCATGTTGCAATATAGTCAAAGTATGTTATTGACCAAGCTTGTTTGCTCTTCAAAGAATTCTGTTATATATTTATTTTGTCATTGGTATTTGTGATACTGTTCACTCAAATATTGGTAATGTTGAAAAGCAACATAATAAAGAAGTTCAGTATATCCCCGAGTATACAAATGTACATTAAATATACTTATCGATTATAAAGTTAATGAGATTAAGTTTGAAGATCATTTTTAAGTACATTTTGTGTATTTGTTTCCTCAAAAAGTACACCAACAATATCTGAGTTACAGTCGAAAATTGTAAGATTACAGTCTTAGACCTGGTTTCGCCAATGTCGGTTAAAGTGAAGTGAACGTTTTATATAGTTAGATAATGGTTTAATTGATGTTGATGGAACCGGGCATTAATGTAATAGAAAATAAAATCATAGATTTACATTCAACCTAAGCAGCAAGAATAAATCTTAAGTATATAATAATTAAACTCTGTTCAATAATTATTAACATTTATTTTTCAATATTGCATTACTTATCTAGAATTAAGTAATCGATGATCATGCATATTCCCTAGTATAAAAATATATTACAAATTTCTACATTTTACGCAGTTCAGTCGACAAGCTCTATTATTCTTTTTGTGGCATTGTCAATCTTCTGATTCATGTTTAACAAAAACCTATGAATTAACTTAGTGATATATTGATTTAATATCGACACTCTAACTGCCATAATTACCAGTTTCTTACTGTTTCTACAAATCTGTTCATAATTTGGACGATGGGAAATCCACGTCCTCTCTGAATCTGATAATTTACTAAGATCAACAAATCGTTTACTGTGCTCTAATTGTGCCTTCTTTTTAAGAAGGGTGCGTCTCTGACGTCTGCGCTCGCTCAATGTCTCCTGCCAATTTTTTCTTTCACATCGTAGTTTATCAATGTATTTCTTCAATTCAACCGATTCGTCTTCTTTTCTCTTAGCGATATTATCAATTCTCTCACAATCCTCTGATTTTTCATCATGATCCACAGAAGTCACTGCATTGGTATCTAGATATTAATATTACATATAAGAAATGTTAAATAAGAGCTAATAAAACACAAAAGTTCCTACTGTCAAAAACATAAATATAACCTCAATCTTTTCTAAATAAACTGACCTTTGATTGTATGAGTAATGGATCTTCTTTTATATATGGAAGATCTGCGCTTTTTGACCTCAGCGACTGAATGCGTCTCAACGCCATCCATTGAAGACATAGATATATTATTTTCACTCATTTTTCTCAATTCCGTGCAAACTACATCAATATACCGCAAAAAAGTTTAACAAATTTGAATTTGCGTGAACTGATTTGAACGATCCAGCAACGTACTTGAAACAGGTAGTCAATAACACTACGTAATTTGACATGGAAAATGTATTACTAGAATAAAAAAGAACAGGAACGATGCACAGTTGAATCATTTTCGGAATTAATTCTGTTATAACAGAAGATGAAATAATAAACATGTATTTCGTTAAGATTTTCTGAAATAACAGTACATCTTTTGACTTAGTTTTGGTAGAGGCCGCGAAAACCAATCTCATCTCGTAATTCATGACTTTTTAAAGATTTTCCTCAATGAACTACAAATTTTAACTGTTTCGTTAAAATTTCGAATATTGTCTTCTAAACTGGCCCTTTCTTTTCACTCATAGCTATCCCTTGTCGAAAACAAATGACTCGCTTTCAAAAGTCGCGCCATACCACCCCATCCACCAATCGAGAATTTTCGCCTTGTGTTAACAATGGTGTTAATTCAACTTTTCAATACTCGAGTTACCCCATTGATTTTTTAACAAATATTAACAATTCGCATATTTGCGGTGCCTAAGGCAGCCTAAGGTGAGTTGTATTCCTCCTGTCAAGAGAAGACAAAGTGGTTATCCGAAATATTTCGAAGGTTCTGGCAAAAATCGCGGGAACTCAAAATTGTTCTGGAACGTTCTTGAAGAAGCGAAATATTGATAGAACAGGCAATCTGTGCACGAGCACGTAAGAATATCGAAGTATATCCTGAACAGGCGAGCCAGCAGGATCGTGAGTCGACGTTAACGTGAGACACGGTGCAAATAAGTGGATAAATTACGTTCTGGCTGTTAAACTTGAACAACGTACACCCATTATTCAGAAAGTAACCAAAGAGTTGAATTTGTATACATCGCAACATGACAACATCGAGAGCAGAGGAGGTACAGTGATCACTTATATTTCCCTATAAGTTTCAAAGTAATGTCAACATCAGTCTTACTCAATTCCTGAAAAATGTATTCATCTTCTAAAGTATAATTCATTTCTATCACACTTTTTGCAGATAAAACTGGATATAGTGGAACTAAATGCATTGTGTGCACAAGCCAATCGTCAACGGTCTAAAGATCTGCTTTCTTTAGAAGTCAGAAGGCTACAAGATGAATTAGCTAGAATCACAGATGAAACGAGACTGGATGAAAGCAAGACTCTTAGTCAAACGACAAGTGCTAGTTCAAAGTGCTATGAAATTAAGCTAACTAACTATGCATGGGATCAAACAGATACGTTCGTCAAAGTTTACGTAATGCTTAAAGATGTGCACACATTGCCAAATGATGTAATAGTCTGTAACTTCACGGATCGATCTATGGACTTACGAGTTCCTGGATTAGGCAATAGAAATTATCAGTTGCCAATTAATAATTTAAGTGAAGAAATCGACGTGAGCAGGAGCTATGTTAAGGTAAAGACGGATAAAATTGTGGTATTTCTTGCAAAGAAGGTTCCTAAGAATTGGACATATATAACATATGTTGAGAAAAAAATTAAAGAAGCCAAGGCACCGACCATGTCAGATATGGGAGAAGACAACGATCCAGGGGCAAGTTTAATGAATTTAATGAAGAAGATGTATCAGGATGGAGATGACGAAATGAAGAAAACCATCGCCAAAGCATGGACGGAAAGTCAAGAGAAGAAGAGTTCTCAAATGTCTGATTTTTCACTGTAAGTGCGAATGGGAGAATAAGAAGATCGTTGTTAAATACAGACAGGATTCAGAAACAATAGGTGCTGGTATGCCTAATTTTTTATTGAAGTTGTATAAAACATCATTGTATGTGTTTTCCGACCAGTTTCACATGTATTAAATATTCCTTTCAATACTGTGCACAAAGTAAAGATTCTAGTTTTACATCATTGCGATGCATTTAATCAGTAATTTTACTTCTTATTTGTAATTAATCGTTATGGTCAACCCAGATTTTGGCTGTATATCATTTTTGTATAACTGATCGTCATGTTACCATGGAGCGACTCGTTTTTATTTCGATGATAGAAAATTTAAGTGAATTCATGATATAACATTTAATTACACATAAATAGTGAATTTATAAAATTGTATTTTGCTTATATTATTTTATTAGCTACTACTATGTGGTACACTAAACAGAATGCATCATCCATTAAAAGTACAAACTGCACTAGTGGAAGAAATCAATTTTTTACATCTATCGTTTCATATAGTCTACAATTAAGTAAATTCATTTTTCCTTTTACATGATAAGGCCATATAAAGCTAGAAAATAATAAATGCGCTTCAAATATCATTTTTGCATTTACTCGGACTAACGGCATTAACTTTAAAATTTCCTAATACTGCCTGAACAATCATACAAAAAACAGGAGATAACTTTTTATTACAGTTCTCTTAAAAATGACTCGTTTGATTTTATAATATAGACATTTATCCGAAGATCGTTGATGTTAAAACTATTACCTATAATAAATATGTAAAAGGTCCTTATAATGTACAATATTCCATAAAATTTGTTTATGACTTAATACGTATGTACATTGTAGCTGAATTTTCTGATATATGAAAGTAAATGAACAGAAATTGTGAAATAGTATTACTTTTATTTAATTATCAAGGTGTAATTTCTTTAGTATACCATTTGTAGCTTATATCTCCAATAATAGAATATTGTAAAAAACACAATATTGTATACTACTTAAGACTATGTGTAGTTATCGGCTTTCCTGCTTTGTGGTGGAAGTTTTTTAATTATTTTGTTTTGATTTGTTGGACTGTACACTGCAGAGCATTTAAATTCTCGCACACAATATGCAAACTGAATACTCGTCTTACAATGACCGTTTCCATTATTTTTAAATAAACATTGCAGCGCTATAGTAATGATTACTTCCTCTGCGTCGTGTGTTTAACGTGACAAAAAATTATCGGTTGTCTTATTCATCGGTTTTTCGGATGCTGAGAAATGAAATTATTTCTGCAGGGACTAATGATGAAACCTAGTTACAACAAAATAAGATGTTTTTCATTGAATTAAGATTGGCACTTAACAGTAGCGCTCTCACTCTCTCTGTCTTCCCGACTAAATTCATCAATCTAATTTTATATATATATATAAAACTGATAATGAATGGGCTACTGTTCCCAAACTTTTAAATATTTTTCTTGAAAAAAGTAAAAATGTATATACACACTGTACTAATGTTTGATTCTTGTAAAATTGGTTAAATTGGAAAACATGTCAACATGGTGAAGACTATTTAGTGACCGAATAAACTTGTAACGTTGAAGCCAGAATAATTGTTGGAATTATTTTCTGAAAATGAAATATAAGGCACAATTTAACGTTTCATATTATTCTTTCCTGACAGGCTAAGCAAAAGTCGTTTAATCGGTTTAATTTTCTGCCATAGTCTTAATCGGAAGCAGTAATTCGTAATGTAAACTACAATAAAATAGCATTTAATTTCCTTCTAAAAATGGCCTGTTCAGAATTGACATAATTAAAAAGGCGTACAAAGGGATAAATGTGGATAAAATGTACATTCGCATTTACATGTTGCTTTTTAACTCCCTAATGTTCATCAGTCTCTAATATGCTTCTATTTGATTGCTTCACCTGGATCGTGGCCAAGTTAAAATACTTTAATACACACAGACAATATCTGGTTTCGCAGCTCGATAAAAAGATGTACATAATTTTTTTTTGCAGTAAAAGATATTGTGCTTTTCAATTACACATTCCTAGAAATGCATACAGAATATACTATACAATGACCTCATTTATCAAAGTCCTCCAACGAATTGGAAATTGTAAAAACGTAAAAAATTTCTGTTCTTCCCGTAGAGTAATAAAAGTAACCGTACAAATAACACACGTAAGTCTACCGCCGAAGTTTTTCCATTTGTTTTTAAAAAACTCTTCCCTTCCCACCCTCGTAAGAGGTATATAAAATGTACTCCAAAGTCATGTACAATTGTTTTTAGAACAGTTTCTGATGACGCGTAAATCACGTTAACTGCTTGTTTATCTAACTGCAAGAACTCAGCAAGAAGATATATCTGTACTTTTTTCTTCAGTAATAAAATAACTTTCCAACGTTTAGACCTCACTTATGAATGAACAAAGAGACACGTATATCACGGTACTATACAGAGTCAATAAAAAATTAAATACGGTGAAATGCTAATTACGCCGTCTCGCTTAAAATTTACTAAACGCTCGCTCGTTAGTAGGATCATTTCGATCCGCAAACGAAGGCCCTTCAAGTAATGGTAAAATTTGTTTAGACAGAGTCTTTGGTTCCTCGGTTTGGAGTTGTCGATCTTGTACGTGGAAGTTCTTAAAAAGTAACGATGCCAGTTATCGGAGCTCACTGCACGCGTTTACTCGAAGTAAGCGAGAGTTGTAACTCCCGATTGGTCGCGTTCAAGACATCGGACATCTCCTTTTTGGTCTTCTCCATGAGGGCCTCTATATCTTCTTTACCTAATCCTATCGTAGGAATGGGCGGTAACGTCGTCACGATAACGCGACCTGAAGAAGAACAAAGTTAATACCATTGAAACGGAATTCGTAGGCATTCTATTTAAGCCAGTAATGCCGGGAACCGTCTTTACCCGAATCCAATCTCTTCTCCGGAGTGGAGAGAAAGTAATAAGAGGAGAAGACAACTGGCAGAATAGGCACCTGGGAATTAATGGCGACATAAAATGCCCCCTTCTTAAACGGATGGATTTCCCCAGTATTGTGCCTGGTCCCTTCGGGAAATATCCACAGCTTTATCTGAAAAATACGTAGTCCACATTTTAATCTACATTTCGATAGACCCGTGTGTACTTTTCTCGTATCGCGGATAGATTATCGGAAATTCTAGAGATATTTTCCGCCTACTTTTTCTGTCTTCAAGCGCTCCATTGCGGAGCTGATGATCGACCGAGCCTTTTCAGTGTTCATTCGGTCAATGAATATCAACCCACACAGCCAGGCGGCCAGTCCGAACGGCCAGGCGTAGAAGATTTCCTTCTTAGCCACAACTGTGCATTTTTCCATCACCGGCCACAGGTGGAACATTCCTAAAATATCCAGGGAACTCTGATGATTGGCGACTATGACGCATGCCTGCTCCTTTTCTAAATGTTCCCGGCCTCGGAGTTCCCAGTGGAGGCCAAGTAACGTGCTCACTGGCTGACACAACGAAGACGCCAATCTGGAAGAAATTAAAATGATAACAAATTTCTTAACCGCCCATTTGACATTACATCAAGGTACCAAGAATGCTACGAAACATTCCCCTCCTGGAGCTTATCACATTATCTCGCGAAATTCATGAACGCTCAAGACGCAGTCAGGTCGAAAAAAGAAGCTTTTCAAACGAACGAGCAAGAATGTCTTAACAAAAATTTCTTAACCGTCCATATGACATTACATCAAGGTATCAAGAATGCTCCGAAACATTCTCAAACTTTTGGAGTTTATCATATTATGTCGCAAAATTCATGAACGTTCAAGACGCAGTCAGGTCGAAAAAAGTCGCTTTTCAAACAAACGAGCAAGAATGTCTTAACAAATTTCTTAATCGTCCATATGACATTACATCAAAGTACCAAGAATGCTCCGAAACAATTTCCAAACTTCTGGAGCTTATCACATTATCTCGCGAAATTCATGAACGCTCAAGACGCAGTCAGGTCGAAAAAAGTCACTTTTCAAACGAACGAGCAAGAATGGCAATATCGTTAGACTGGAAGCATCGCACATGGATACAGTATCGATTCGATGAAAGGAATGAGAGGGAAAACATACACAGCTGTGAGGAGGAATTCTGCCATGCTACGAAAACCCCGAGAAAATCAATAGCGATTGAATATCAGCGCTCATTAGCAAACCCGATGCACGCGAAAAGTACATCGCAAGGCATTAAATAGGGCGTTGATAAATTAATCGCAAAGAAAGGACAAAGCAAGATAAACAAGGGGCCTGCCGTTTCGTCTTTACAGCGAGAATTGGTGCCTTTGGACTCTACACTGAAAAAAAACATCACTTGACCGAAACAAGCACATATCGTAGCCTGAATCATGCATAATTGCAAGACGCAATCACTTTGTCGAGAAGAAAAATTGACAATAATTTAATATAATAAATCTTCTTTACTCGATCCGACGCTTCTTTGGACGTATTTGAACGCAGGGTTTTCTCCTCGCAATGCAAATATTTCCTTGAGTCGATCAACATTTTCTTCTCAGTGTACACGTATACAAGTTTTACGGCGCTCGTAAAAGAAAGTCTGCACGATATTCGCGATCGTAGGGCGAGCCGGGCGCGATTAAACCGTACAAATGGTTATTTTACGACGTGAAAAGAAAACTAAAAAAAAATCCACACAAGTTTGACATGAATTCCGGCCCTTGAAACGTATCGGTGACACGTCCCCGGCGTTCGTCGTGCCAACGGTGGATATAGAGGCGAAACCCAATCGAGTCCAGTAAAGAAAATTAGCACCAAGGTAAAGGCAATCAAGGCGGTAAAGAGCGTGCAACTCCGGCAGAGGTACCTCGCCGTCTGAAATGCGGTAAGAGAAATCAATAAAGGTCGAATATCAGCGGTTAATGCAAGCCGAAAAAGGGGGCTCGAGGTGAAACTTATCGATCCGAAAGAGCCAGAAATAAATGAGAACGAGAGAGGGCTTACTAACAGTAGGTTCTTGACATTTCCGGGTCGAAATATCATAATAGGGATCAGCAGGACGGCGTTCGCCATAACAATGCCGTAGTACGTTAAGAACTTGAAGTAGTATCGGAACGTTCGATTAGTCTCGTAAAGGAACGGTAGCACCAAAATAAAAGCAACGAGAATCACCTCGAAACACGAGGGGACCATTGCGAGGCGCTCCGCTCGGAGAAGTGGCCGCACCCGGACGCGATGACAACTACCTCGAGCAGCTGCGCGACGCGACGACGGCGTCGGGACGACTGACCGTCGCCGTCGCGCCGATCGATCGAATCCCTCGAGGAATCGCCGGCGTTCGGTTCGACGGGGGTGCCTGGCTGGTCTCGATCCTCGAATCAGCGCGAGCTCCGAGATTTTCACCCCCGAGCAGGGCCGGTCCTGGTGGAGGGCGAACGCTGGGTCCCCTCTGTAACCAGATTTAATTTTTCAGTCCAGGAAAAATGTATAACAAAATTTGGCGATGTCTGTTAACTCAAACTGAATTTTTTTTCAAGCCAAGAGGAAGCGTAAACTGGGTGAACGCTGGGTCCCCTCTGTAACCAGATTTAATTTTTCAGTCCAGGAAAAATGTATAACAAAATTTGGCGATATCTGTTAACTCAAACTGAATTTTTTTTCAAGCCAAGAGGAAGCGTAAACTGGGTGAACGCTGGGTCCCCTCTGTAACCAAATATTATTTTTCAATTTTTCCTCAAGCCGAGAAACGATTTTATGTTTATAGTCAGAAGAAGTATCCCACGTAATAAAACGGCGAAAAGTGGGTTTGCCTTGGTCAGGAATTCAGGATCAGAAGTCCTATTCTCGAGTTCATATGGATTTTTTTTCGCATAAAAATAGATTCGCAGGCAAAAGTTGATTGTATGAACTCAAGAATCGGGTCCCAGGCCTGCTCCAAGACTGCACCTCTGTTTGGCTGCATCCTAAATAAACTACTTCACGCCGTATACTACCGGTCGCTTTTATGCAGGCCTGGAAAGAGCGTCGAAGTCTCTCGGCACCGTTGCGGAGCTTCCCTTGAAATTGCGCCCCGCTGGTTTAATTCAATTGAGAACGCGTCTCGACGCCGGAGTGGGGAGGCGTCCGGATGGCGACCGTGTGACAGCTGCCGCTGTGTCGCTTTTCTTCGAGCCACATCTTCACGTTCTGTTTAAGCAATTAAGATCATTAATGAGTATTAATGTGTATGAATTTCCCTTTACCAGATACTTAACCTTTGATTAGAATTTATCATGGAAGTAGAACGGCAATTTTTATCTGAAATAAAAAGTAAAAAACTTGTTGACTACTACACAGGGTAGATATGTTACGGGATGACTGAAATTTTAAGTAAGTAAAAGTTCAACAGGGAGTATCTAGAACGTGGGTTGATTGACCTTGCAGTGTTCAAATATACTTGGCAATGTATCAGTTCGGACGCAATATTGTTTGGTACTTTGAGCACGTAACACTCTTGCATCGTATATTAGCATATGCCGGTGACGCCGTTGTGACAGTATTTTTAGGCGTTGTTGATTCTGTGAGTAAAACGAACAATGGTTAACTAGAACTCTGCGATTATCTGCGTGTACTACATTTTGAATCGAGTACAGAGCTGGAAGCAACATTGTAAAAGATAAGGCATGCAGAGGAGTCGGTGAACTCGTGATCCGGGATATGAGACATTATTTAATAAAATATAATGTTTACGTACGTGCTCGGAACAGAGGAGGGGGAATAATTGCATCTGATTGCATCGAAATGTCGCCATGTTTAAATGCTTGAACGCTTCGCGGTTATGAAGCTCCACTGGTGGCGCACCTGGCGCCATCTTGTGTTGATTCGGCGAAATATTGAGAAACGTCCGCCATTACTGCCGACGTACCGACCAATAGGAACGCTCCGTTGCATCGTGAAACACCCAATGGCGTCCGATTGCATTGCCTGCATCCACCTGCTATTCGTAAAATGTCAGGTCGATTTCAAAGTCACATAAGTTTACTTCCGTGATTTAATTGATATTTGATAAACTCTGATCTGTAGCGGAAGTAATAATAATATAATCATGGTAAGAGAGTGTAACATTTTAAGTACGAGTAATGAGGGGAGCGTGAGTCTTCTGATCCTAACCTAACCTGTTTCCATCACATTTTGTTAATATTTAAATAGGTGTTTAATTTATATATAGTCTAGGTTTTATATGTTAGTACCATGGTATTAAGTGTATGTTAATAATATTGTTAAAGATAAAGGTGAAGATATTCATTGCTCAATGAATGTTTTCAGCTCGTGCTAGTATTAGGTGATCTTCACATTCCGCATAGATGCAGCAGCTTGCCGAGCAAATTTAAAAAACTTCTGGTGCCGGGCAAGATACAACATATTTTGTGTACAGGAAATTTGTGTACGAAGGAATCGTACGATTATTTGAAAACGTTGGCCAGTGATGTACATGTCGTCAGGGGGGATTTTGATGAGGTATTTGAAAATGGTCGGAATGGGAGAAGACATCATTTGTACCTTTTTGATGAGTTGTCGTTTCTGTTGATAGAATTTGAATTATCCTGAACAAAAAGTGGTAACGGTAGGCCAATTCAGAATCGGTTTATCTCATGGTCACCAAGTAGTTCCATGGGGAGATCCAGAATCGCTGGCGTTAATTCAAAGGCAGTTAGACGTCGATATTCTAATATCAGGCCATACCCATAAATTTGAAGCATACGAGCACGAAAACAAGTTTTACATCAATCCTGGATCTGCCACCGGTGCTTATAGTCCTCTCGATACGTAAGTTGGTACATGAAAACAGTAAAGTCAACCACACAATCTATTATAGTGATACTATTTCTATTTCATGCAGTTCGGTCATTCCGTCGTTTGTACTAATGAACATACAGAGTCCCACAGTTGTTACATATGTATACCAACTTGTTGGAGACGAGGTTAAGGTCCAGCAGATCGACTACAAGAAGAGCTAAGATCTCCCTAAAGGATTACAGAAATCGACCGTTATTTTTTTTTGACATGTCTTCTGAAATCAAGTCCCCTGATCCGAGGGATAACGAAAACCTTCTCGGACGAATGTCTGCAGGATTTGAAATTCTGCAGTTTATCACACATAACACTTTAAATCGTATACAAAGATCAAGCGTGTAATGTCTTTATTGTAAATAAAATGAATTATTTGAAGACAATGAAAATATTTTTACCGGCGAATGTTATACTCGGCATAAATCAATATATACCGTGGCTCGTTCCAATATTAATAAATTCACATTTACGTGCTACGTGGTAAACAATCTTACCTTGGTTCGCAAAGAGCTCGGACTTACTGAATCTTAAACTGATGCGATCGGCCAAGGTAGTCGATATCGACAAACAGCCTGTTGCCCTAAATAATCTTGAATTGTAAATCAATTTTACTGTTCGGTATTGTATACAAGTGGCCATTAAAACTCGATAAAAGTCCAGCATGCTGGTAGTCACGTACAACCAAAGCCCGTACGTCAGACGACTCGACCTGCATTCGGTTCGAGAGATATTTCCCTGCGACATCGGCTTTGCTGTTTGTTGTATTTCCGAGTAATCTCGTCTCCCAATATCTGGTCGCACGGGATCTGACGTTAGTTCCCAATTACTTCTTGGACGTCTGGACCGTAATCCCGATAAAGAGCATTGGCGCCTTCCACATTTTTCCGTCCTCGACACCTACGGAACCCTCGTCGAAACGCTTATAAAAAAGACTTTCCATAAATTCCTCCTAATTAAATACCACGATTCCTTAATTCCAAAATCCCTAGGAATGAAATTCCACGATTAATTTCCATACCAAACCGTGACCTTGTAGAAGTTACCCCTTACGAACCGCAGGAAACTGGTCTAACAAGAAGCAACCCCAGAGCGCCATTATTGCGCCTCGCTGTACTTGACTCTGTACCGGGTAACTTCCTTGAACAGGATGGTTAAAAAAATGATCGTGCTCCCTTTCATCGATCTACTCCTCATGAGCATGTAACATCACGTATGCTGCATCCCCTCCACCATTCAGAATAAAAGGAAGGAGAAAAGAGAGCGTCAAGCGGTGAAGACACATAATGTACACACGAACATTTCTACCATCATGAGTTAATAAAAGTTACGAACAAGCTTGTTGAACAATGATTTTCCATAAAACATTGCCCATGTTATATAAATTAATTTTATACATATTAATTGGAAAAACGCGTCGATGGAGCGCGAATCGACGAGACCCATTATTGACTTTTGAACATTCAGAAAGATTCGCCAAGTGTTCGCGGTATATGTTCTACGCCCGTGTCTTCGTTATCAGCCATAAGAGGGAAGACGGGACGAGTGAGAGAAAAGGCACAAAAAGGAGGGAGAAAGGGAGAGAGCGGATTTACGGCGCCTGCGCTCAGAAGTCTGGAGGGGAACCCGGCGTCCGTACAAAAAGGGCCCGGCTCCCCGGCGGACGTTTAGTATACAACAAACTGCAGAGAATCGAACGGAGTAGTCGTCTGACAATCGAAAAGCATCCCCAACATCGCCTTCCATTATTCTACTCGTCTTACAATTCTATCCCTAAATCGAATCGCAAGTTACGACGGCAAAGATGGCGACGAAGCTGCTGAGGACGAGCCTCCGCCTGACGGCGTCCAAAGGCGTCTTCGAGAAACGAGCGGTCGCATCCGTCTGCAACGCTCTCTTCGGGCCAGATAAGACGTCGCTTTCTCCGGACAATAATACCCAGGTAATTGGGCCTCACTTACGTATGGATATTTTTCTATTCCAAGGGAAAATGGGAACCATAGCGCGATTCATTCGGGGAACCGAAGCCCCGGCGGAACTGCGCGTCCCTTCGGCGTTGACAAAGGGATTTATCGAGGACGCCTTTGAATCTCATTTGACTTTACAGGGTGTCTCAAAGTAACGTCGGCGAGCATCCTTGACAAGTGTTATTGATATACAGAACGAAGAATTGAAATTTAGCGACACCAGTGCGGAGCCTTAAGAGGAGAATCATGAAGAATCGGAGTATAATAATCAGTGAAAATGTTACGTTACATTCAAGTAGGGATCAAAAGTATTTCAGCGTTTTTTTGAGACGCCCTGTATACCCTAAGCTCGACTTTTTTTCCTCTTTTTTTTTTACTACGTGACTTTTACCACCGCAATACGTGTCTGCGCTAAACTGCCTGACTTCTCATTTAATTTAACCATAATTTCCGTCGGTTAGCGAATAATTTCTCCGAATTTCTGTTTCTCTTCCGAAGATCTCGAGAGAATGCAACCACGGAATTTGCATCTTGAAGATGCAGGGTAATTTCGTGGTAAATGGGAATTTGAACGAGGTGAGAGCTTGCCGAGATCTTCAAGATCTTCGCTGTCGGCTGTTTATGTGGCGCTTCATTTTTAATGTCCCTTAATTAGAGTGCGAAATTTTATGCGCGGCCCATTCACGGGATGACACGCTTCAGATATTTCATTTACATCCTCAGACATTGTCTACATATATTGTGCAGTGTTTAAATACGCATTTGCCCTGACATTCGATCGGCGTGGTAAGGTTGCATTACGCGTTGTATTTAATTACGAATTAATCCAAGCCGATAAGGTGTCCTGTACGCATAGTGTATGTAGACTTTGATCTCCATTTCTGATTCTTCAGCGTGTCCGCTTCGATGTTGAATTTGATTTCCGTTTGATGTCTCCTGGTCACTAATTTATGCTAATCGTATCTAGTCAGAATTTTATTCTGGACGTGTATTCACGTATATGACGACCTCGACGGGTTACGAGGCTTAACGTTGACTTTGCTCGTGTAAAATCGACGGGATAAACGACCGATCGTCGGTCCACGTGTTGGTAAATCAGCCTTTCGTTTTTACGCCTGTTGTTATTACGAAACTCGTGACGTCGACTTGGGCCCCGGGATATTTCTCGTGTTTGTAAATAGGAAACGTCCATCTTGGGCCAGGGGACCATTTAGCGGGCCCATGGGAAGTGGCGGGATGTCGATGCTTCGTTTGAACGCTATTAGAACGTTTCCTTCGTCTTCCTGGGTGAGAAGTAGACGGGGGGGTGGATCGATGTTTTCTGCACGATGCTGACGATGAGTGGATACCGCTATTTTATACTCCCAGTTCGCAAAGGCAGGATCCCCTCCAGAGAGATAGACAAGAGCGCTCGACAGAGCCTACCGCACGATTCCTGAAAATGATTAACAAGAATTAACGATTCGAGTCCAACCAAGCTGACGAGCTAAAAAAATGTAGAAAGTTCTTCCGGAAGATCACTGACCGCTTTTAAGAACATTCCACTATTCATCTCCAATAGCGTTGCATTTTGTGCAGCACTCGTAAGAAGAGCGGAATGGAATGGAGATACAGATTTTAATTAGAATTGATATTTTATTATAGAATTCTTGCGCTGATAAAATTTCTTCTTGCCACTGGAGAGTGATTTTCATGTCTGCCTGGCCAAATGTTCTCTCATGTTAAAATCCGAACAATCGGCCAAGGATGAAGGTCGTTTCGGCTTTGTTCTCCCACGCGTGACGAATCCATTGTTATCTTTTCGGGTTGACGACGGAGGAAATGGGCTCGTTGTCCGAGAATGACCGGGGCCCAAAGGTGGGACCATAGGTGGGCCCAGTCGTATATGTAAACAAAGGAGGCTATTTCGCAGTTATCGTAGCGAGATAGTTTATCGATAAAAAGCGAGATAGCAGGGTTGGGCTTAAAATATCACGGCTAAACATGGAAAATCTATGATTTTTCTTTTTTTTTTCCAATTTAAACAAGAAATTATTCGTACCTTTCCGCGAGGATATTTAATAGAGTAAAAAAAAAAAACAAAACACATCGGCGGGTTGAACTTTCGAACCACAAAATTTACGTAGAATATCTTGCTGGAATATTTTAATATCTATACATGCGTTTGTATTTTTTAGAGCGATTGCACAGAGTTCTTATGTCATTGTATACACACGTTCACTCACACTTCTGACAGGATTTTCGGGAAATGTTGAGAAATATTGAATGCCGGTAATCCAGGTCTGACGAGGACCTGGGATGGTCCCAAAAGCGGTACTTCGTTCGGGAACAAAAGGATTCCAAAAACGGAGTCCTTCGGGTACCTCCAAAGGTTCGAAAATTGAAGTGGGTTCTCGAAATTCGAAACCCTTCGAAGGAAGTTTTACGGCCTTCGGAAACCGTGTAAAATTGCATTCGAAGCAACAACATGTCAGGGACGTTCCAAGCTTGCACATGCAACTGTTCGTCCTGTAAAAGGAAAGTTGCAGGTGAACGAACTTCCATGAACCTTGAGCGGTTGGCTGCGGTTCTATCTAGAACGACGATGTTATACATTCTTAAAGAGAGACTAGGATGTTTACAAATTAACGGGACAATTATTTCTAATAATTACTTTCAACCTCCCACTATTGTCAAATTACGCAAGAGAACATAAAGGTGTCCTACGGATCGACTATTACTATTAAATCGAATAAAAGAGAAGGGTCAACGTAACGGCGTAATAAAATAAAACCTATATCATATTTGTCCATGGAAAACGTGGTTACGTAAGAGCGGGAACTGGAATTCTGTTTCGAATACCGAACCGGAGACATCAATGCCTCCTTTGATGCCAGAAGTATCTCGATAAGGAATTCACTCGATTTGTTTTCCGAAGGTTCCGTTGATCCCTCTGCGAGATTTTCATTATCCAAAGAACCGTTAAATGTGTAAACCGCGGCATCGTCTCTTGACTCAGGTTTTTAAACACGAGATTTCTCCATTTCCAGTTGACTCAGCTAGCAAGGCGACTGTACAGCAAGAGAAATGTACACCATACAAGAACGTCGGCTTCTTTGGACGAGGAGAGCGACAGCGACAGCGACTCTGAAATCGAGCCAAAAAGGGTAAGACATTGTTAAAATAGATTATCTAACGAAACAATTGAAACGAGGGTTCCCCGATTAAGGTAAATGTACCAGTGGTCAAACACCACCTTAAACATTTCCTTGTATTAAGCATTTCATGAATGTTCGAACACCGGTACATTCGACATTTCCACCGTCTTCGCAGCATAAATAAATTACTCAATATTAACATATACATATAGCATGTGTTTTGGAAACTAGAAATTGATTTTTTTTTCTTTACCTTGATTGAAGTCATCCGTACCTCATATAGGTTTTTATGTGCTTAATCTTGGTCTGAATCTGAACGGCGTCTTAAGTGTTCGGCCATTGGTACACTTATCTTACCAGCCGAATCAAAGATGAAATAATTGAGACACTTTTTTTCCCCCTTTTCCATTAGGACGGACGAGCTGTTTATCCAACATTTCTGGTACGCTATCAGTCTTGACTATCCGTGTGTTTGTGTTAGAGCATGTAAAACGCAGATGAAGTTTACTCTCCAGTGGCTTGGATGCTTTTTTTTTTTTTAATTACATATACAGTCCGAGAGAAGGCGAACCAGTTTTGTGAGCTGGGTCGAGGGATATTCGAGCGTGGGTAGGATAAGCCCTTCGATCTGGAACAAAAAAGATAAAAGAGGGGAAAGAAAAAAAAACAGAAAAAATCGCCGCCGCCTGTGATTCCTCATGTAGACATCATTATCGTCAACGGAGGTTATCAGGCATATGTGCGTGGCTACTTATCGGCCTTCACCTACATTCGATTCTGGAACATCTTTGGCGATTATGCTAATGTCATTCGCCCGAGACCAAAGAGATTCTGGTTGTGAACGCTCGAGTGTCCTTTTTCCATTAAACGGGAGATCAAATGGCCCTGGAAGGAGAAACTTCGAACATGTTTCTAGAGATCCGAAGAGTTTTTTTAGGCCTTGTCCTTCACGCTAGCATCTTAAGAGGGTATCTTACCGTGAAATTTCGTTCCCAAAAACGAGTCAGACTTTTAAAATTAACATACAAAAAGACTCGTGTAGAAATCCACAATATTTTTAGACCTACAATGTTCGCAATGGAGGATAATCGCGCCGATCTGCATTCTGCATTCGTTTTTTTTTCTTTTTATTTTATTTATAATACAATATATGTTGAGTTTTTGTTCTTATTTTAATGACATAAGTTAACGAAAGTTTGGCCGTCATAATCGAGTTAACGCGATTATGCATGTCAAAGTCGACGATTTACTTGCGTTTGAAAAACTGTATGGTACACAAAGTTGTATAACTTGTATACATGAAACTATTTTATGATAATATTATAGGTCGGTACTCCTTAAGTTATCTATCAACAGCTGTCAATCGTTAAACAGAATCGCATTTGTAGTATTTCCGCGGTTAAATCCTAAAAGGTACATACTCTTTACTAGTCGCAGTAAAATACCCTCTTAAGGACAACCATATGGAATGTATATATCTAGCGCACATTGTTTACGATTAACGTTCCTTTTATAGGCGGAATCTTCTTTTTGGAGGAGGAAGATGCGCACCTTGCACAGCCACTTGGACGTAAATAAGGACGGCGTGATAAGTTACGAGGACTTCATGCTCCTGGGAGAACGATTCGCCAATTTGGGCCACTTGTCGCCAGAAGCTAAAAAAGAGTTTCAAAAAGTCCTCAATGTACGAGTTTTTTCTATTCTAACGACTCGAGATTGTTTTTCCTTTTTTTTAATAATCAGTCGCTACCATGATTAAGTAAACATACCTTTACATAATTTTCAATCATTGTAGGACATGTGGGAGGAACAATGGGGAGAGATCAGTCCTTACAATCTGATCGGCGTTGAACAATACCTGGAAGAAATGCATCACGTATTAAACGACGAGTCCCTGAAGAGAAAGTGCCACCACTTTTTGCCATACCTGTTCAAAGTACGTTGGCTTGTTGCGTAAAACTCGGTACTCCTAGAATTCGTCCAAGAAAATTTAGTTAAAAGAAAAAAAAAACAACACTATCTCTCTTGATCGCAGGCCGTGGACAAAGACCAAAGTGGTGAGATTTCGGTGGAGGAGTTCAAGCTGTTCTTCGAATGCCTGGGCTTGTCAAACGATGTAAGAGGATTTATCAATATTTTTACGATAAGTCAAGAATGGGTGTCTCCCAACTGTACTAACAATTCTTTCTCCGGTAGCACGCAGTCGTCTCGTTTTCTTATATCGACACCAACGAGGACGGTAAAATCAGCCTGAAAGAGTTCGTCAAACTTGGACGAGATTTCTTTCTGACGGAAGATCACACGAAGCCCAGCAAACATTTCTGGGGCCCACTAATCGACTAATGAACTAACGCCAGACTGGTATTTGACATGTGATAACTAATATTATACCTATTTTTATTACGAATGTTTAATGCTAAGACAGGGCACTCAGATTATAAGGTAGTGTCGTAACTTTGTACAAGTATGCGAGTCATTTTTATACGATTATATTGTAGTAGTATTGTAATAAAAATCACTGGAGCGTCCTTTTTTGCCGTAGGATTTTGATTTGTCTTCTACACATTGCACACGCTCTGTATAGATTGGTATCAACGAATCTGGGGATATTCTAACCTTATGTAACAAAGGTTTATCACAAAATATGACTTTATGGATGTAAGCCACAATTATATTTTTCCGATGTTGTTATGCTATGATATACAAGAGTGAGTCTTTCTTTCCCCCGAAGCAAATACATTCACATTTTTCTATAACCTCCAAGGTGTCGACATCGTTTAGGTACACGTTTGCAGATTCCATTCATTATTATAATTTCCTATTCTAGTATTCATATATTTTATTACGTTATTTTAGGTATTAGGTACTAACTTTTGAATACTAAGTTATCCAGTTTACATGCACAATAACGTCAACAGCAATAGGTCATGTTAAACTGTGTGCACTGCATGCATTGTATCTTTGTCAAGTTCGTTGCCACTAAATAAATAACAGTTGATCAAATAATATTAGCACTTTTTTTATATATATAAAAATAAAGCATGAAGACTATCGCCACTCCATGTACTGATATGCTTTCTCGAATTTGAACATACAATCTGCAACATTATATTTACACGACCACGATGACACTTTTTTCATTAATACACTGGCATTTTAAGGCGACGAAATGAAAATGATCCTTTCCCCTCAAATTTGAAACGAGGTGAAGGTATCCTTATAAAGGATTGTACGTTTATTTTGTGTGACATTAGCGATTGTCAACAATCACTAGTGTTAAAATGTATAATATTACGAAAGTGTTTCGATCGTTCACAGCAATATATATAATTTAGCGACTTTCTTTTTACTCATTTTTTATGTTGTACGTTGTAAACAGTAATAGCTGCACACCCGATACACTCCATGGCATTTAACACTTATTTTGAAACCGATGTTTTAATTGTATTTACATTGTTTCAAGGTACAGGAGCGATTAACAATATAAGTGTAATAGTTACGCTTCGACAATAGCAACCTTGTAATTTATAGCTTTTCGATAACAGAGTGTCACAATTGTCTTTGTTACAATCTGACATGCATTTTAATTTCTTGAGTATTAATAGAACGAACGGACAATTTATAAATGATTATTTCTTTTCTCTAGAAAATGGCTTAGAACTGCAAAATGGGGTTCGTTTAAACTTTTTGGAATGAAGTATGCTATGGTTGTTTACATATACTATAAATAATACAGTTCAGGTATGTTTACTTGCAATTATTTACATTTTTGTCATCCTGTTGGATCTTCTAATGGAAGATCTGAGAACTACACAAAATTGCGAATAACTGGAAGTGAAATTGAATTTGAGAGGGTACCATGAATCATGGTATTTATAGTATATACTCATTAATATATTCACCCCTTTAATTGTAATATCTTAAAAAATTATACTCTGTATAAAACCTATACTATATATTTTAGTTAGCGAAGTTAAAGCATATGAAATATTCACTTTTGTATGATCGCATTTTGTAAAAATGGTACATAATGGTACATTTGTACAATAGTTGTATAAAGTACTAATTGAATTAATGATTTAGAAAAGTTATGAGTTGAATTATTATTAAAAATTGAGAAATAGGATACAGAAACACTGTGCACATGAAAGTCGTTACAAAAAGTGAATCTTTAACATCAAAATGCATAATACGAGACAGTGTCTTACTGATAGTTGCATTATATTAGATAGCTGTAAACTTGAATGTGGCAGGAATAAGAAAGGACAATGTAATTCCTTTGCCCATGATTTTTTAAGTAGACACACATGTCACCTAAATTGCCCGGTATGTAATGGACCATTATAAGACAAAAGACTAGTCCACGTAGACAAGACATGGAACATTTAGTTTACGTTTGGCATCCTACATTTTGATCATATTAGACGGTTAGGTTTTACGGCAAATAAGCTTCCGTTTCCAAGGACTCCGGTGTTAAAACAATTAGTTTGTGCCCGGATATCTCATGGTTGTCAAAAATCTTCTGCACTTGTTGAGCAACTTGAGTTAATTTGAAATAGACATGACAATAGCGTAGAGACAGGTGTGGAACAGTCATCACTGCCGATATACATATAGGTTCATACATCTCCAAAATATGCATGATATAATGAACACTTAAGTTAGGGGGAATATTAGCCACAATTACTTCACCACTAGGAATAATCTTAATTTGTTTTCCCACTACATTCGTATTAGGTGTGGAAGTTCTTTGATTGAATATACGTTCCAACGACGACGGTTTATCTATACTGATAAGTGGTGGTGGAAAATTACCAGCATTGATGTCAGGTTGAACATTATTGCATTCTTGCATCGTCTTTGAATCATCTACAGCATCATTAGAGAAACCTGGACGCTTGAACGTGTTTGCGTTTGTGCCTCGTAGATTATGTAGCTTCATAAGTTGTACCAAACTTGTTTCCACAGGCTCCTTTGGTATATTTTCTTTTTTTTCATAAAGTGAAGGATTCCAAGACATCGGTGCCGAGCTTGAGTCTTTCGAGTTCATCTCATCAAAATCTTCATCGTTATGTCTAAGTTTATTATATGCATGTCTACTACCACCATTTCGGTGAAAAGGATTACGCGATTGACTGCCATGTTCATCCTGCTGAAATCCCCGGTTCTTTTTTGATGTGCCATTCTTCTGACTGTCGCTGTCGCTTTGATTACTATAGTCAGTTCCTGTATCGGACTTTAACGACGGCGAACCTTTGTGACCCTGTCTACCACCTTTTTTTGACTTGTCGATACATGGTAACAGTTTCACTTTAGAATGACCTCTTAGTCCATCCAAGCATCGGACTGCTTCTTCTCTGGTAGCATACCTCACAAATCGGAACCCAAAATCATCACCTGCACAGTTTACTCGTTGAACGGTACCAAATTCCGAAAATATCTCCTTGATTTCATCCACCGATAAACCGAATTTGTTTGGAAAATGTAAGCAGTAGCATCCATCGTTTTGTACTTCAAAGTACTTGTCATAAGACATGTCGTTCATCCTGAAAAGCCGTGTTGATTACAAGGATAAAATATGTGCTCAATTTCGCAGGCAGTTCCGCCTTCTCCTGTGCCAACTCTCTCGGTTTTATCGAAAATCTTGTAATATTTTGTCGATCACATCGAGCACATGTGACCTTCAAAATCGTGTAATCAATCACGAATAAAGCACATTGATTAAGCAGGAATCAAAGGGGACAGCACAATAAAAATGTCTTGTTAATCTTTTAGTTTAGTAGACTCTACCACCTACAAAACAAAACAATATTAAATGTAACAATGCTTTCACGCAATACCGGTCAAATTAATTTTCATTTTACCTTTGTAAACACTTACTGATCGTCAAATTGCAGGTTACCCAACTACGTATAACGGACAAATTCGTACAGTTCAATATAAATCCTACAACGAGAAAAGGCAAAATAAATCTCCCCCAAGCAACGTTCATTCCATCAGCTCTCAGAAGGGATCAAAAGACAGTAAACCCGGTAATCCTAACACAATCCAAACAAAAACGAACTATTCACTCACCAAAGTGCCAAGGTGCCGAGTGGTTAATTCAAACATGGCGGCAAGGTAACCATGTCGCGCGCGCATGCGCAAAGGTACGACACCGGCCCGCATTAAATCCTCTCCCGTGCCGAAACCAGCCGACAGTTTATCACGCCAGTCGGCTGGAAAGCAATCAAGCCCCCGGCAACGTCAAAAATCGTCAAAAGGCCCGTAACCACTGTTCCAACAAATAGTGATACAAATCAGTCAAGGAGTCTCGACCCCCGGCCAGTGGGCGGAGTTAGGCCGCGAGTCCGAGAGCGCGAGTCGCAAGTGCGTCTCCCCGACACCCCGAGCATAGTTCCGACCTCGAATTCCCCGTTCGTCGGATAGGGGAGCATCGGAGACCTGGTATCGCTACCTCGCCAAGGCGAAAGGCCTCACGAGGCCCTAACGAAACGCGGGGATCAAAGTGGAGTGGCCGAGGGCACGCGATTCGGCCAGATGGCGGCCGGCTCCTGATTGGCCGAGGCGGCAATGGCCGCCGCGCAGTCGCGTTCGCAGGCAGGCGCCATCTTGACCGGCGCGCACACGGGCGCACACAAGCGAGGGTCCGCGGCGGCCGAGCCGAGCGGCGGCGGAGTTGGCCGAGAGTGGCCGAAGCGGGCCGAGGCTGCGTCGGGCGAGGAGAGCACCGCGAGTGCTGCGAAGTGCGACACGAGCTGCAGCCTGTGCCGACCTCCCTGACGCGCCGATGGCTCGAGGCCAGAGCCCGACTCCTCCGAGGCTCCGCGATTCGAGAGCGGCCTAACCTCTTCCCGGCGCGGCGCGCCCGTGTTCGTTCGCACCTCCCTTCAACGCGTATACGTAAACCCCGACAATCCGCCAGAGTTGTATCCCGACTGCAGGTTAGAACCGAGAAGCGCGCTCCGACCGAGACGGAGAGAGACCGACCGAGCGAGACGGAGAAGGAGCGACAGTGATTAGACGCGAAGTGCACGGCGAAGTGAGCGAGAGAGAGACCGCGCTACCGAGGTGAGTACGCGCCAGACAGAGAGGCCTCTCTGGAACGCGCGCGCCACGGACTTTTAAGCGAGACCGACAAAGGCGGCGACATAACCTCTCGCGAGATCGGCGAGTCTTCCGCGGAGAGGCAGAGGCGACCGGCGCGCAACGACATAACCTCAAACGACTCGACCAGGGGCCCTTCCCCGTTTCATCGCACCTCCCCCTTCCGACCTTCTCTGGCGAAAGATACAAAGTATTTTTAGGGACATTGTATTCGATATAGAGAGTAAATAGTGGCTGCGAGAGCATATTTTTCTGGCGGGGAGGAGCTTCCTCGGGGAACACGTGGGGACGAGACTCGGGGGTGTCTTCCTACCGTCGGCTGGGAGGGCTTCTTGAGGGTCTTCCTGGAGGAGGGCCCGTTCCCGCTCGGTCCTTCGGTTGATGGATGAAACCGGAAGGATGCTGCAACACGGAGGATCCGGCGTCGGCTTGATGGGCGGCAATCAGGGCCAGGGTGCCCAGAACGCCGGCGGATACGGCAGCATGGGGCCCGTCGACGGCTCCGCCGCCCAGGGACCCGACCAGACCGTCGAGTCCAGGAAGCAGGACATCGGCGAGATCCTGCAGCAGATCATGAACATCACGGATCAGAGCTTGGACGAGGCCCAGGCGAGGTAAGTGACGAAATTCAGTTTACCCTGGTTGGATTAGTTAAACCGGGAACGATCGTTTCCGCGCTCCAAGACTTGTACTTCAGTTTTTAAAGGCGCTAAGTTAAAGACGCCTTTAGCCATTTAATGAAGAGGTGAGGGACGATTTTTAATGATAGAGATAGGAGAGATAAAGTTTTTCAAGTTTTTTTTTTTAGATGAAAATTATTAAGGGACGGCATTAAGTACAAGTTTGCATGTTTCGAGAGGAGCCGTTTCCTTTTTCCTTTACGTGAAAAGTCTCATGAAATGTGAATCTCGTATGTTACGAGGGGGGCCCTGTTTCGGAAAATGAATCGCCTTTTTCTTCTTGCAGTTAATTTTCTTATTTACATTTATCTTTGCGTGTCAATATTGAAAGTTTGGCGATAATAACAATTTCACCCTTGAAATGAAATGAGAATCGTGAGAGCTTTGTTTACAAATTATTTTGTACGGAGTTGATCTAGGGTCGCTTTGGAGCTCTGACTGGTGACTTTTCTTTTCGATGTTATCTCGACACACGAACACGTGTTAACGATAGCCATTGTTTCCGTGTGGGCGAGGTTGAGATCCGTCAAGGTTATTCGGATTCTCCTTTTGCCTGGTATGTGTATTTGGTTACGGATTAATAGGGAGAGCGATCGAGCGACTCGCTTAGAAGACAATGCCGGCGACGTGGAAGGCGAGGAAGAATATTCCCTTCGAGCGCACTATTTTTATCGAGAGGGAGGGAGAAAAAGAAGAAAAAAAAAAAGCTCGCCTTCCAACGATGGAAAACTTCTACCAGCAGTCTGGAAAGTCGCCGGATTGTTAAAACCCATTTTTCTTCCCTCGATTAGAATATATATATATATTTTTTTTCAATACCTAAAATCTGAAATTGCAATGAAACACAATATACCGTTTTGAGAAACTCAACTTTAAATATGGATATCCCAGTTATGTTTAGTATCGGAAGTTAAAATTATTACCGACCGAAAAAACACCCCAATTGTCGGAATTTCTTGGGATTACCTTGTAAAAAGAATTGTACGTTTAGGGAAGGAAATATTCTAATATTCTGTATATAGATTCATATGTTAAAGCTTTGAACGGTGGGTTTAATCTCCAAAAGCGAGGCACCGGTACGAGCTTATTACGTCCTTTTAATTTCATGAGCGATCGCCGCGCATACGCGTTCACACGGTGGAATTTAATTGAATAAAGTTTATATCGGAGGCGGGTGTTTTGCCGCTCGTCCCGAAATTAACCGGGGAAAATCGAACGATTTGCCTGAATGACCGCGCTCGGCGATAAAAGGAGCAATAAAAAATACATATAGCAAAATTCACGTCACCCCATGACGAGCACGTGTTACTGGCGGTACGTCCTTTTTACGAGGCGCCGCGCGATTCCCGGCCGACGTGCCGCACCGGCCGAATCACGCGAAACGATAAATTCTCACGTGAAATCTAATTTTATGTATATACGCCGGCTATGTTGCGTTCCCGATAATGGCACGACGATGGTGTACTCGGCGAGCTCTCTCGAAAATCAATCTTAGTGATAAATGGAATGAAAAAAAGAGAGGAAAAATCGGAGCCCGCGAAAAATGTTTAGGGGCAAAATGTAAGAAAATAAATGAAATATAATCCTTTTTCTGGTTTCGGATGGCACACTTGAGAGGGCTATGGGAAACGATTAATTATCACGTGAAATCCAATTTTATAGATAATGCCGGCTTTGTTGCGATTTGATAAAGGCACGACGATGGTGCACTCGAAAGTATTCGGCGAGCTTCCTCGCGAATGAATTTCAATATTGGAAGGAAAGAAAATAGAAATGTAGTAATAATATTAAGGGTGAAAAATCGGAGAGAGGGAAAAATATTTGTGGGTAAAATGTAAGAAGATAAATAAAGTGCAATTGTTTCCCTGCTTTCAGAAAGCACACTCTGAACTGCCACAGAATGAAGCCTGCCCTGTTTTCGGTGCTGTGCGAGATTAAGGAGAAGACCGGTGAGTTTGGAAGAAAAAAATTTATTTATATAATTTTTTCTTGTTACAGAGAATTTTAGGAGTTACTTGTTGCGACTCGATCGTCCCTTTCGATTTCTTGCGGTGCGATTCTATTCGTAGTTTTGGAATGTTTGAGAGCTAATGATAGATTATGGGTTCTATCGAGTTGTCATTGGTCTCGCAAGAAAAAGGAATGTCTGCAGCGGAATGAGTGATCTCTTTGGAATGTATTATATCGGGATAGGGAGAGAAAGAATGGCCGGTCGAACGGTGGATCGAGACAACGATATTCCTTGGGATCGTCGTCTCTTTCTCGAGGTGGCGTTAACCGGTTCCCATGGCCTGAAAGACCGCGGAACGAAATACCCCGGTCACCGAGAAGGGCGTATAGATATAGGAGAACACGCGGAGAAAATGGCGAAGGTAGGCGCGGTTTAGTGAAAAATCGAAATTCCAGCCGATCTACCGGCAGCGCCTTGCTGATCCGGATTTAACCCCTTTCGCCTTGCAATGTAACGAGAGTTACGACCGCCTCGAGTTACGGGGAATGTATGTCTATACGTGGAAAAGGTTCGAGAGGCGGAGGGTTAATGGGAAAGAATAACGACCAGGGGTTCGATTTTGACAATCGACACGTGGAGAGAAATATTTGGTTGAATCGAGATTTTTTTTTGGCCCTTTTTTGACAAAATTCTACGGTTTATATCAAACTTGGGAACGAGCCTAATATTAAAATGTACGCATAAAGTTGTGTTATCGGCAAGAATATTTCTTGGAATTAATGGAGGGATTTAAGATAACAGTTTCCTCGAGTGAAGTGATAAGTCAGCCGTTTCAATGTTCCGAAGGGAATCGGATTCGATCGGAGGATTTTTCCCGGTGAGTCGGATTTTGGTTAATCCGCGTGTAGAGAGCGAGTAAAACGTGGACGTGATAACCGAAGGCGTCGGGAATGCACGGGAAGAATTTCGGAAAGTAAGCCGGTAACATTTGAATGCGTTCAACGGTGTCGGCGAGATGCGAATAGAAAAGTGAACGAATACGAGAAAACACGAAAAACGCATAAGGAAGGAGCGTGTTCCCGTGAAAGGGGGCCTCGCATCCGTCAACGTCGGCGGCGACAGCGAGGAGGCCCTTCGAGGCTGAATTTTCGTGAAGTCGGGAACGCGAGCAGGATAAAAAAAAAAAAGAATAAAAAAACGAAAAAAAAAGAGAGGGCGATTCGATTCGGCACTCGGCGCGAGCCCTTGGGGGACAACGGGTCCCGGGTAACTAGACACCGTGGAGATTGACTAGGTATTACTTTAGCTAGGGGAAATGGGAGGAAAAAAAAAGAAGAAGAAGAAAAAGAGTCCCCAGGTCGCGGTTCTCTTCGGGGGATATTTACGGGCGGCGCTGCAGGGCGCCCCCCTGTAAACGCGGATGCCCCCCGCGTCATTCGAAACTCGTAAACATAATTTTTATGCGATGTTTGGATTACTTTACGCACCGACCAAGAGACCACGAAACGCGCAATTATTTTCGGGCTCCCCCGAGCCGAGGGGAACCACGCCCCTGGGCTCCGCCGTCGGGAAGCTGCCTCTTCAACGAGGGGGTGGCTTTTGGACCCGGGCGATACCATCGGAGGGTCCTCGCGAGGATCCATCTTCGGGCCTTGCCAGGACCCGGAACCTCCTTCGGCGACACCCTTCGAGAAGCATTGTCCTCCCTGACCCCGGGTTTCACGTTTGAGGTGGGAAGAAAGTGTCCTCTTGTTCCTGAAACTTTTTTGGACTCACTCCGTGTACCCGATCGTTTGGAATTTTATCACCTGGATATCGGGTGGTCTGGATGCCGGGGAAATTTGAATTTTTCTTTAATTTTCTTTGTAATCATTTTGGCCCCTCGGGTGACACTTTCGTGTCACCTTAAAGCGGGGCTCGACTCAACCCTTTGATCACTCCGTGCCCACTAGTTCAATCGCATTCGGCTGCTTTCGCGTTTGCATGATTTCAATGAAGGCGAACTAAGGAACGACTGATAGGAGTTTCCTAGTTGAGCGTCTTGTGGGTGGCTGGATGTCTGTATACAGTGGTCTATAACATCGATACAAATTTGGTGGATTTTTTTTTTATACAGAATCAATGTTCATTAATTGGAAATTTACCTGAATTATTGGTTTGGTTTGATTCTTGAGTATCGCGGAATGATGTATCTTCTTTCAATGCTCCGAAATGAAAAACAAAGAAAAATATGAGTAGGGACATCGACGTAACGTATCGATATCCTTCTCGAAGGGAGGGATAAAAATGTCGATTCTTCTCCTGAAAGAGGGAAAAGGCAAATTTTAAATCGCTCTCAAAGGTCGTGCGTTTTTTTTTTTCTTTTCGATCGGAAATGATTCGTCGAAGAGTGGGTGAAAGAAAGCCGGTCGCGTTTATGGAGCTCAGGTGGGAGGTCCATTCTGCCGAGACACCCTGTATGCGCACCTGAGGAGCCCGCGCGAGGAAGAGAGAGGAGACGCGACGGCGTAGCGGGAGCTGGAGAGAGAGGGAGCTAGCTTCGCTCCGGGAGGGAAGAGAAGGACGCGGGACTGGTAGGAGAGTTTATGGGCAATGGCTGACGAGGCAGTGAAAAAGTACTAAAACCAAGAGGAGCGGATAAACGCTATGTTAAGCAGACCGTTTTACCAACCATTTAATATAATCAGCTCTCTCATGAAGCCGAGATAACTTTGGATCAGGACTGTGCTGTGGCGAGATTTCCGGATTTGTTTTCCTTTTCCTTCCCCCTGATTTCTACCCTATTTTTTTTTCTTTCCTTCCTATCAACCCTCGAAATGGCAGAACCCCTGACTGCGATTTTGAACACCCTCCGTGACACATTCTACCATTGCACGTGACGTGCACTGTCACAATTATTTTAGACAATTTTAAATCGCTTCCGGAGGGTAATCTAGAGTTCCAGAAGATTTCCCACGAATTAGAGTATAACCCGGTTCTTTTATTTCCTCTTTGCTAGGATTTTGTACCCTTTGCAATTGTCCTGTTTTCACGGGGTGCGATCGGATTTATTAAAAAAAAATATATATATATACAATTGTAAATAATTCTTCATCGGGGTTATGCGTGATTTCCAAGTGATACTTGAGCGAGAGAATGGTCGTTTCTTTCTTTGATTTTGCTTTCGTGCGTCGGAATTATTAAAAAAAAAAAAAAAAAAAAAAAAAACATTCTAATTTATCCCTCGAGGTATGAGAGGGTCAAAGGATGCACCGTGAGGGTCAGAGTACGCCTGGTCCTTTTTTATCCCGTTTTCGCCAGGATCTCCGGATTTCACCTTTTCATTCTTTCCCCCTTTTCATGGGTCGCGATCACGAGGGCGATCCTCTCGAGTGCGTGGAACACGTACGCACCTTCTCCGTATGCTGCGGATCGTGAACGCGAGCCGGGCCCCATACATTCGAGATTAACGCCGTTGGACAGCCCTGAGGATCTCGATGATATCCCCGCCTCTTCCCCCCCGGGAAATCGAGATCGCCGAGGGTTGGCTCCCCAAAGTTCTCTCGGGTCCGTCCTTTTTTTTTCCTTCCCCCTTTTCTTTTTCTTTTTCCCTCCTCTCCTTCCTCCTTTTGGAAATTCGGCCCGAGCTCGCAGGAGGGTGGGAGAGAGAGAGGGGCTCTCGAGGATCGAGAGGAGCGCCTCCACTAGTGGATTTGGACAGCCCTTCACGACGAGGGGTGACTGGTCCAGCATACCTAACGTTCTCCTCTCTACCTAGTCTAAAAATATAATGGACCAGTCGGAATAACGCGTCCTAGGGTTCTGGGAAAATTTCTCCAGGGGTCCCCAGCCTGTCTGTACCGAAAGCGACCTTTTTCGATTTTTTTTTTCTATCGTTTTTTTTTCAAATGATCAAGGGGGTGGGTTCTAACCTCGAGAGCGTAAACGGCGGATTTTGCGGGATTCAAGAAGTCCCTAGGAAAGGGAATCTTTTTCGATTTTAGCATTATTTCGGAGACTTCAAGGGGGTGACTCTAACCTCGCGAGGGTGAACGACGATTTTTTGCAATGCGATGGAAAAAATGGGGTTTTGCGTAAAAATCGAGAGGGGAGAGGGTGGCTTTTCCAGGTGGATTGGAATATCGCTCCGGGTTAATTAAAAATCCCCCCCTTCTCCCCCGGGGAATCGCGTCGATTATTTTTTTACGTGTCCATGACTGTCAATTTCCCCGGCTCGCGGGACTCGATGATGGAGAAACTCGGCCATGTCGAAGGGGATTCAATGGAACGAAAGTAACCGTTTGACTTAATGGATTAACGATTAATTATTGCGCGCCGGGGGGGAAAAAAAAAATGACAGTGCCGATGCCGCGGGTTTAAAACAATGGCGGCGGTCGGGTCGCGGCGGAACAATTAAAAATCCATACTCGATTTGGCGCGGGGCCAGCGGTAATTCGGTTTCACTCCGACTTGCTTCGGGGGGTAGTGTTATTGTTGGCGAGCATTTCTCATCGTAATCGGCCGACTGAATGTCTCACTCGTCGGGGTTTTTTTTCTTTTTTTTTTTCCCTTCCACTTTGCCTTTCGTTTCGCCACAGTTTCCGGGGAAAGTGATTAAAGAATCGCCGGTGGTTAATTCGAGGAGGGTGGCGAAAACGTCCGGTGGTTTTTGACGGATATCAGCTGATCGGTTCTTGCGGATTTTTCGAGGTGGAGCTCGTCACTCTCGTCGTTATCTTTGTGGGGAAGGTATCTAAAATGTAATAGAAAATATGTACATGCGTTATCACGCTATAAAGCGGGCAAACGTCATTTTTTTCTCTATCATCTTAGGTAATGAAATAATGAAGAAATGAGTATGAGAGATAAATACAGGTCCTGATTAAATATCGAACCTTCCCGGTGGTCGATTTTTTGGGCGATACGATATTCCGGATTTTTTTTTTATTAGATTTAGAATATATCTCGCGACCTCGTTTCACTTCATCGTTCTGGGTAATGAAGGGATTTAAAAATGGC